CATGGGCAAAAAGCCTTCTTCGTCATCAAATGCTTTGGCTGTGCAAGTAGATGCGGAAGGCAAGGTCAAGTACGACGCCATTGCTCGGCAAGGCCATAATGACAAGCGGATTGTCCACACCAATTTTCAGGATCTGATTCCGTTAAGACAAAGAGCGGATGTTGGGGAGATATCCTTGGATCGGCCGTCGGAAGAGGAGATCGCTGCGCAGACGGAGAAGACCAAGGATGCTCTGGCAAAACTGGTTTCTGGAGCTGTAGCTGCGCAGAAGCCGAAGAATGTCAAGGGCATCACCAGGAATGATCCTACATACGTCCGCTACACCCCGGCAAATCAAATGGGAGATGTGACCCGCAAGAATGATAGGATTATGAAGATCGTAGAGAGGCAACAAGATCCCATGGAGCCCCCAAAATTTAAGTAAGTCTGCATAGCAGAGTGGTTCGTTCTACAGAACAGAAAAAGCTGACTGTGATATCTTTCAGACACAAGAAGATCCCCAGGGGCCCTCCTTCACCGCCGCCACCAGTCATGCACTCGCCACCACGAAAACTTACTGCAGAAGATCAAGAGGCATGGAAGATCCCTCCTCCCATTTCGAACTGGAAAAACCCCAAGGGATACACTGTGCCATTAGACAAGCGCTTAGCGGCCGATGGTCGCGGATTACAGGACGTTACCATTAACGACAAATTCGCCCAATTTGCAGAAGCTCTATTCACTGCGGACCGCCATGCTAGGGAGGAGGTGAAGCAACGCGCGGCCATGCAGCAGAAGGTCGCAGAAAGGGAAAGGATGGAGAAAGAAGACCAATTACGTATGCTTGCACAAAAAGCTCGTGAGGAACGATCGATGGCTGGGAGACGTACATCACATGCAAGGTCCGCCTCGGGTAGTAGAAGTCGACCATCCTCATACAGTCGGTCAGACAGCGAGGACGAAGCTACAAGGGAACGAGAACAGATGCGGCGGGAGAGAAGGCAAGAGAATGAGAAGCAACTTCGCCAGTCGCGCATGGGCACGGAACGCCGAGTCCAAATCTTAGCAAGGGAGCAAAACAGAGATATTTCCGAAAAGGTGGCTTTGGGCCTAGCCAAGCCTACACAATCATCAGAATCGATGTGGGATTCGCGTCTCTTCAACCAGACCAGTGGATTCGATACAGGATTCAACGAAGACCAAGCCTATGACAAGCCTCTTTTCGCCGCTCAAGACGCTATCAGCAGCATATACAGGCCTCGTGCGAATGTGGATGATGATGACGACGAGGAAGCTGGGGGAAAGGAGTATGACAAGATTGCGAAAAGCAATCGATTCGAAGTGCTAGGGAAAGCAAAGGAGGGATTCAAGGGCGCGGCTGATGCGGAGGTACGAGATGGTCCGGTGCAATTCGAGAAGGATGTTTCGAACGCCACGGATCCCTTCCATATCGATGAGATGATAAGGGATGTGACGGGAGGCGCAGGTGGGAACAAGCGGTACGGGGTGCAGGACGCGGAGGAGAGGGCGTCGAAGCGTGCGAGAGTAGACGATGACGATCGATGAAAGCGCTCTGTATTTTAATTTCCATTAAAGGTACAAAGATTAGCTCCGCTGCTATCCCATGCCTGACTATTACCGGAACAGTGCTCTCTAGTGATCATACCTACGTCTCGGACGGGCAAAGGTTCAACTTGAAACGGAATTTGTGCAAGATGCTAATCTACGTCACCATCTTTGTCGTCTAGGCCAATCCAATCGCCTTCCATATCCTCATCCATACAATCATCTAAAGCGCCGTTGCCATTCACCATCAATGGCGCCTCTTCGGACCCGTGATCCACCCCTGCGAGGAGCAACGGCTGCGCAAGCAAATAGTCCAGTGCATAAATATTATCATCCGCTAATCTGGCCAACTCTAATTGGATTTTCGCTATCGCCTTTTGTACAGTTCGCAGCTCGGAGGCCAATGAGCTAGCGTGATCTTTCAGATAGGGACCATGTGCATGCAACAAAGCCTCAATCCATCGAAGATTGAATTCGAGGTGAGGACTCTCATCGGTAGCTTGGGCGACGAAACGCAGGAGTCGGGCGAGGTATACGATAGGTATATCCTTGACAAGAAGAGTGACATCGGTAACAGGAATTGCTTCATAGACTCGACGAATTAACAGCCGCTCGTTGAGTCGGAAAGCCATGATAAGGGCAAGAAGAAAGTCGTTCTCCTTGATGGCTTGCAGGGTAGAAGCCGGTGTGATATTGATGTCGAGATCGAAAGGGTCGAATTGGAGGGCGCTATCAAGCGAATAGACAAGAAGACCCTCAGTCGATGCGGCGCAGAAGGCTCCGCCTGTGGGCGAGAACGCAACTGCTGGTGCGCGCACTTCTGGCTGCGTCCGCCGAACAGAAAGGTCGCCACGAGTAGCGCCAGGTAATGTATGGTCAATGCGGTCTTCGAGATCCGAAGCTTCACCCTTCTCATCTATCAAGCCTCTTGGACCAGCTTCGGTGAGGTTGCGGCTGTTTAGAAACTCTTGGGTGCCTTCCAACGACAAGTTGACCGAAACGGTAAATTTCTTGATGAGTGTGCCGGACTGGACGTCATAGAGACATATGTACTTGGAGTTTCCGCCAGCAATGACGCAGCTACCGTCAGCACTGTAAGCTATACAGTTGAAAGACTTTGTCCCTGCGACGTTGGCTGCGGTCCTTCGATCCGAGATTCTTCGACCGCCCGAGACATCACGACGGCCATCCACACCAGCTTCTTGACTAGCTTCAGAGACAGACCAGAAAGTTAGCTGACCGTCCAAGGTAGAAACGGCTACCTGTTTCGAATCGGGGCGGAATGCAACATGAAGGACATCCGCTTGTAGCTGTATTGGCTCACTGGTCTGGGTCCGACCAAAGATGCTCCATATGCGCACTGTATGGTCCCAACTACCGCTTACAACGACATCACCGGAAGGTGCAAATGCTAAAGATGCGACTGGGCCTTCATGCCCAGATAGCTGATCGAGTAATTGGCCCGTTTGAACTGACCAGATATGGATGTCAAAGGAGTCCAGCGATCCCGCGCACACGACTTCACCACTAGGGTCCACAGCAACAGAAGAAAATGATAACCGGGTAGGTGCTGTGAATGTTCTAAAATTCCGATACCGTATTAAATCCCACGCTCTGATTGAGCCATCAAGACTTGAGGTGAAAAGAACATTACCTCTCTTCGCAAACTCGCAGGCAGTCACGCTGCTTGAATGCTCGGTAAATGTGACAATACAGAAGCCTGATTGTGTGTCCCAAACCTTGATCTTGCCGTCATCCGCAGTCGTAATGATACGTTGACCATCTGGAGAGTAGACCAAAGCGTTCATGGAGTCGAAATGGCCTTGTTGTTTCAGGATATAGGACTCTGATTGCCACTCCCAAACAAGAAGCTGGCCAAGTTTCGACGCACCAAATGCCAACCATTCCCCTGACTTGTTCAAAGTCACAAAATCTATCTCATTTTGAGATATACTATGAAAGCGTCGTCAGCATTTCGTATTCAAGCAATCAAAACCGTGGAAGTGCACCTTAAGGTGTGTATCATGTTGAAATCCGGGAGCTCATACAATCCAAAAAGGCCGTTGGAAAAGCCGGCTACAAGTAGATTGGATTCGGCATGATACGCAGCACACTTGACTTTTGCATTGTTCTGCATGAAATAATGTCGTTGTACGATTCTCCACTGTAGAGGGTCTTCGTCATCTTCACGAATGTTGACGTCGCCGTTTGCGCCTGGCCTTTGCGAGTAGCTCCATCTAAAGAGCGCACCATCTTGGCTGACTGTGTAAATCTGCCTTGATCTCAGAATCTATTCCAGCAACGCTAGGTATTTCGGCTTACCTGTTCCTGATCGCATGAGAACCACGCACCCAAAACGCCTTCTCGATGGCCTGCTAGTGTTGTAGGGATAAAACCCTCTTCGGGATCGAGGCTCCATATTCGAGCTGTAAGGTCTTTCGCGGAACTCAAAAAGAAACGAGAGTCACTCGACCATTCTATACTCTGGACAGTATCGTAATGTCCAGCATGCACTCTATGCCGAACAAATGGCGCATATTCAAGACCCTCGTCTGTAGTTGCATCTGGTGTCGAAGGTGTTTTCCATACTTCAACAAGTCTTCCAACACCAACAGCGAAGTGGTGACCAGAAGGTGAAAAGGCTAGGGCAGAAACAGGCGCTTTAAAAGAGAAGTGGTGAAGGGCAAGCCGTCGAGGAAAGTTGGCTAGAATGGCCCGACCATCTTCATCAACAGAGAGGAGTAGGTTTCCGCGCGGACTGAGGGCTAAGCGGGAGATATTCCGGCGATGCGAAAAGGGAAAGGTATAGGACTTATTGCTGATAATGTCAGTCTTAGTGGCTACAAACTTGCGGAATGCTGGGGCAGCCGGGCCACGTACTTGATCAGGTCAAACACAGTGACACGATTACCGACTGGTGAAAGCAGACAAGTCCCATCAGGAGTAAAGAGGAGGTTTCCTTTGCAATAGACTGTGCCCAGCAGGTTAGAGAACTGTTGCCAAGCCTTAGTTTCTGCAAAAAGCATTGACAGAAGGGGACAACTGGGAAACGCTACCTTGAACTCGGTCTTCATAGTGACTATCTAAAAGACATAGCTTCAGGGAACAGGAAGGAACCAAAAGTCAAGGGTTGAAGCACATGCGTCGAAACCGTCGTTGACCAATTGTTGCACAGTTTGATCCGAGGTCCTTCAAAAAAAATCGAGAAGCTCGGACCGAGGCGCTAGTGCTAAAGTGGTTAGCCGGAAAAATTGTCCCTTTCCAGAGTTCCCCTTAACGAGCTCTGTGTCGGATTGACTGGTGAACTTGTTTTCAAACTTCAAAGTCACTCGACCTTACACACGCCTCTTCCAATTGCAAGAGCCAGAAAATCTCTGACTTTACAACCCCTTCCCAGCTTTTGCACCTCAATTACTGCGGGCCCCTACAAATTGAGCTTTAACATGGCGCCAGCAATGTCTGAGGCTGCTTCGCCAATTGGCATTGCCAACGTGAGTCTATTCTCACGTGCTTCACCCACAGCAATTTTCTAACATGTGCCGTTGGGTGTAGCTTCCAAACCAGAGGTACATACTTTGACGTGTCCGAAAAGCACAGTCCAGCCTCGACTGACTTGGCTCCAGGCATAAGATCGTTGCTAAACGTGGAGCTGCATTCACCATCATGGTACTCCCACACCTTTCCAGTGAGTAACTTGAATAGGCTTATCTGTCCCAGGTTGCAGGCGAATCAGGCCTGGGAAAGACGACGTTCATCAATACCTTGTTCTCGACAACCATCAAGAACTACGCAGACCATAGGCGCCGCCATGCGAAGCAAGTAGACAAAACTGTTGAGATCGAGATCACCAAGGCTGAGCTGGAAGAGAAATTCTTCAAGGGTATTTATCTTCAACTGCTTGGGTTATTGGAATACCTATTCTAAAATGATGGGACAGTCCGCTTGACGGTCATCGACACTCCCGGCTTCGGCGACTACGTCAACAACCGCGACTCATGGATGCCAATCATAGAGTTCTTGGACGATCAACATGAGTCGTACATGTTGCAAGAACAACAGCCTCGCCGAGCCGACAGGATCGATCTCCGTGTTCATGCGTGCCTTTACTTCATCAGACCGACCGGTCATACGTTAAAGCCCCTGGATATCGAAGTCATGAAGCGCTTGAGCTCGAGGGTCAATCTCATTCCTGTCGTAGCCAAAGCGGACACACTGAGTCCGGCAGATCTGGCTACATTCAAGAGAAGAGTACATTTACTCCGAGGATTCGAACAATTCTGAATGTAACTGACGCAGATCTGTAGATCCGAGCTGTTGTTGAAGCACAAGGGATCAAGATATACCAACCACCGCTAGAGGAAGACGACGACGCTGCCGCCCACCACGCTCGGGCTTTGACGGAAGCTATGCCGTTCGCTGTCATTGGATCTGAGAAGGACGTGAAGACCCATGACGGGCGTGTCCTGAAGGGACGTCAATACTCTTGGGGGGTCGCAGAGGTTGAAAACGAAGACCACTGCGATTTCAAGAAGCTGCGGTCAATTCTCATTAGAACCCACATGCTGGACCTTATTCACACCACCGAAGAGATGCACTATGAAGCGTACCGCGCCCAGCAGATGGAGACGAGGAAGTTCGGCGAAGCTCGACCGAGGAAGCTTGACAATCCCAAATTCAAAGAGGAGGAAGAAAGCCTACGTAAGAGATTCACAGAGCAGGTGAAGGTGGAGGAGAACCGATTCAGAGCATGGGAGCAGAAGTTGATCTCTGAGCGTGACCGCCTGAACAAGGATCTTGAAAGCACACACGCAGCGTATGTGTTGTCCAGCATTTATTCCTATCAGAAGCTCCCGCTGACGATCTTGCAGTATCAAGCAATTGGAGATGGAGTTAGAGCAAATGCAAGGCAGTGTTCAGCGAAGCCACGGACGTCGTTAGAAGCGATCTCTGCCTGCAAATAAGTCGGGATGGAAAAGTTCTCCGGCTTGCACTTTGTGGGCCTGCTCATCATTCGAAGAACCTTTGCAACCTTGAAAGCCGTGAGTGCCAGTAGCTGGCAATCCATCCTTCTTCCTTTTCCAGTGGAGTCTCCATGTTTGCTGTCTAGTGTAATCAAGCTCTCTGTTCAACTAGTAGTACTCAGATGATGGGAAATGAAGCTCTCGAATGCAACAGCATTCTCAATCCTACGATCTATGGTTTTAACAATTTCTTGGCTTTCTTACACTCGTAGCGTAGAGTAGTAGTCAATTATGTTTAGGCTCCGCAATCGTAGACGAATGAGCAAGCTCCATACCAGTCCACCACTACCCAAAATGTGATGATATTTCCCAATCGTCAAGTGACGACCCTCTCCGGGCATTCAGGCGCAATCCACGCCGTGGTGTATAGCTGTGGGGCTGGTCAATATGTAAAATCCCTGATTTCATCCCCTTACGGAACTAATGCTTCGTTCTTCCTAGATCCTCACGGGTTCAAGTGACCGCTCCGTCCACCTCTACAACCCCTCCAAAGCCTCCAGCTCCACTCCCAAATCAGGCCTCATTCAAACCTACAGAGCCCACAGCTACGAAGTCCTCGATCTAGCCGTTACAGCCGACAATGCCCGGTTCGCCAGCGTCGGCGGTGACAAGCAAGTCTTTCTCTGGGACGTTGCTACAGCTCGAACATTGAAACGATGGAGCGGGCACTTCGGCCGTGTCAACTGTGTGGATTTTGGTGGGGAAGACGGCAGTGTGGTCGTCAGCGGGAGCTATGATGCTACTGTCAGGTTGTGGGATTGCAAGAGCCAGAGTACGAAGCCAATACAGGTTCTCGAGGAGGCAGGAGATAGTGTCAGCAGTTTGCATGTGGTTGGGCATGAGATCGTGACGGGGAGCGTGGACGGGAGGATGAGGGTCTATGATTTGCGGATGGGAATGACATTTGTGGATGTCATTGGCCGTATGTCTTTTCTAGCCGTTGTGGATTCTGGGTCGCTGATTGAAAGTACTTTCAGAACCTATCACATCAGTCCAGCAAACGCAAGATGGCAATGCGGTCCTGGTTTCTACTCTTGACTCAACTATTAGACTTATGGATAGGAGCAATGGCCAGTTGTTGCAAAGCTACAGAGGCCATACGAACAAGGACTATCGAGTCAGATCGTGTCTGGGCATGGCGGACTCAGTGGTGATAAGTGGAAGTGAGGATGGGAAATTGTATGCTTGGGACTTGCTGGAGGGGAAGGTGATCGAGAAACTCGAGGCGCATGGCGGGAAAGTGGCCAGCGCTGTAGCTTGTAATGGGGTAAAGAAGGAATGGGCTAGTGCCGGAGTTGATGGTGAGTACCTGTCCACCCCTTTCTGATTGATCTAGATGCACGCTGAGTTTCCAACAGGCACCGTCAGTATTTGGGCCATGCCAGAGTGATGTAGCTGCACTCGGAATTGATAAACCGGGGGAGCAATGGTAGGCTACAGGCCCTTGACATATGCCATCTTTGTAACACGCACGCGCTCCTTCGAGGGACTGCTTGAACAAACCGGAAGAGGCGAAAGCGATATTGCTGCTTCAATTCCTGTAGCCTTGATGGTGAATAGGCAGTCGGGTCTCAAGTCCCCGCGTATGCTGTTTTACATTCTAGTAAGCCCAATGAGGCCGTCAACTCTGTAGCCATTTTTCGGCTTGCTATCCATCCCGCTAATTCAATGCAATGTCTAAGGCTTTTTGGTTCTCGATGATATGAGTCCATCCATCACGGCTGAATTTCGCCATTCACGCCGAGCCTCAGTGCCTGCATTGCGCTATCAAGGTCACACTCGTCCACCATAACAGTCCCAGCTTTGGCAGTAGAAAGGTAAGTCATCTCAATCGGGTGGAGGGGCCCGTCCACAAGTCTCCCAGCAACCCCACAGACGATACCACTTGCTTCAATTGGCAACGATTCCAGGTTTAGGACAATTGGGATGAGATAGTCTTCCCTAGCACCGAGTAAGACATTATCAGAGCCCGGTAGGTCAAAATTAGGGAGAAGTCGCTTCTCTAAAAGAAGTCCAGCGGATTCATCTCTGGTTAGGGTCACACTCGCGAATTTGGGCTGGTGAATGAGACACCTAGTAAGCCCGTGTTGAAGGGCTAGTTCGTCGGCCACAAATGTCTCTGGGTTGGTGTTTCGGCCTCCACATTGGACAAGGCGGATTTCAGAGTGTACCGTTGGAACGATCGAGTGGCGATTGAGCAATCCAAAGGTGCGAGCCTGAAGCTCTGTCATGTTGGTAGGCGGTGGAGTCGAAGGTAATCCGGAGCTCAAGGACGAGCTCGAGGACGCGTTCCGGTGGTGGGCAGATGAGTTGACATACGACTCTGAAGACTTCTCGAATGCAAAACCACGGTTTTCCAGGGCACGGACGACCTGGCTTTTGGCTTTTGCAGGGACGAGGATAAAGTCGGAATAATACGTGGTGATGAAGAATAGCGAACTGCTCATTGTCAGGAACTCTAATGACGATTAGCAAAGAGTAAAGCTTACATTCCAGCGAGAGCGAGAGGACTTGTCAATTCTAACACTCTCTGCCCAGCCTCCATGCCAGCTCCTTCTACGGAGATTACAACGAAATCTTCCGCAGAGATGGAAGCATAATGATCACCATCGGCGCCGGGTGACGATAAGGCCCGATCTATTGCTGGTCTGAACAGGTCTTCGGCCACATCCTTTTCGCAGACGATGGAGCATTCAATGGAGGTGACAGAGACGTTCAAGAAAGCATGACTGTTTGCCCAGGATCCGCTGTTGCGTACATCCTCATTAGGACCCGCGACCGAAGGGAACAGCAGCTGAAGGACTGAAGGCAAGTAATGCTGATACTGGTCCAGGGGGATATGGACGAGGCTAAGCTGTACTTCCTATTTTGATAAAACAAGTCAGCAGTGGCTTCGAGACGCTGTTGTCTTTTTGAAGGAACACCAGCCCCATCTATTTTTCATGAAACATTGAAAAACAAGATATATCCCCACTGGCTTTGGAGCATAGCAGACTTACAAGAAAGTGGACTCTGGCCGACATCAGAAGGCTTGACTGCTCCATTGTGAAGACGAATAATCAGCGGTTGGGTAACATGAAAGGCAGCGGAAAGAAATGTGACACAGAAAGATTGGACATGAAGATTTTTGAAAGTCAATCGGTGAGGACTTCTCAAAAAGAAAAGAAAGTACAAGCACGATATGAGCTGTGCTACGTGGACACTGATTCCGGCAGGCGGATGATAGAAGGACAAGACTCTGCCATGCTTTCCCGTTCGCCTTGGATTCCCTTCATGCACGAGACCTAATTTGTATTCCAACGCGAAGCAATGGGGAGCGGGAATGGCAGGATCACGGCTGAGGAGCGCTCAGACACCGAGATACTCTGAGTAAGCGAATAGTCACTGTGAGAGGAAGTGATGGGATAGAAGGATAAGACCAGGCAAGACGGATACATACAGGATCGGCGTAGTTGGGATTCTAGTCAGAGATGTTTGGGACGTGCAGAGCAGAAGTATTTGCAGGACATTAAATCGAAGCCGTGATACTCGGTAATAGGGCAGGTCAAAGATGAAGCCATACTTTACCACTCACTCAAGGAAGGTTGGAGTCCGTGCTGAGCATGATGCAGCTTGAGCAACAAGTACTTTTAGTGGCCGTATGCAAGTCAGTACTTAAGGCTACGAGTATGCAGGCGCTCTCGCAGCGTGGGGTAGGATGTGGATGATGAAGACTCCGGGGGGTTGGAGGTAAGGTACGTTAGTGTCTATGTCTATATGGTTGGGTCTTTTCCAAACACGTCGTAGCGTAAGAATAGGTTGTATGGAAGCAAAGTTGCATCAAAGATCTGGAAAGCGAGCTGCAGGGCACCCTCTCTTTGTAGTATAGCCTATCGGGACTGCAGAGATTACGCACGTGAGAGAATATGGTGGGAGATTACGCACGTGAGAGAATATGGTGGGAACAGGGGGAAAAGGGAGAAAGGGGGAGAGAGTCGAGAGATGGGCGAATGAAAGAAGAGTACATGGATTCATATCTCTCGTCCGGCTTCTCTTTTGTCTTTTTCTCTTCGCTTATTCCTTGTTGCTTATTGGCAAAAGTATTATACTTGTAATTTAACTACCCCTCGTACCCGGGGACAAAGGCCAGTCCACATGGCCTCTTTTCTCCGAAACCAGGGTCAGTACCTGAAGGCGGTACTTGTGGGTGAGTTTTTTGGAGTGACCCTGGTGAGCTACTCTTACACAAATGCTTGCTTCATCTGCCCTGAGCCAAAGCAAGGGCAAAGCATTCGCAATACACAAGTTAATTCTTACGTGTTACTGAGGGGAAAGGGTGCTGGTGGTGCTGTTCGTCATTGGTGGTAAAGTAAAAAGGGTAAACCGAGGACCAGTCGAGCGTACGAGTAGTGTAGTAGTCGTGCCGTCAGAGCCGATGAGGGAAAGTTGCATCACACCAACACGCTACATGTACCTACTTAGCTTAGGATCTATCCTGCAGAACATATGCAAGACCCCCACCCTCCCCAAACTCCCCACACTCTTCGCTGCAGTAGCTTCCCCTCGCTTACTCCCCACACTCAAGACTAGACTAAGTAAAGTGAGTACAGAAGTACCTAGTACTGAGCCTTCTCACACGTAAGGAACGACCATGTCATCATCTCAACCGGCTATCTTTCACTAGATCTACCAAAGACCCTCGTCAATTAGTCAGGCACAAGATCCACCAGCGAATCACCTCCACGCCCTGCAACCATTCTTGCCTTAACCCTTCCTGTACACAACTTTTTCCCCTTCGTATCCCTGGCATCCGCATGCTCAACGTAATGAAAATGGCCAAACGCGCAGGAAGATACGAGCTTCGTACACTTGTGCCTGCTTGTTGTGACGCTGAAAGTAGCCTTTGATTTGGGTTCCAGGGAAGCGTTAGCATGTTGATGATCGTACATGAGCCCGTCTGAACTATTGCTACCTGGTCCATCCTCCTCGGCCATATCCTCGGCCCCTACTGTTCTGAATATTTCCATTGAATGGCTGCTGTGTGCCACCACGGTCCCCATAAGGAAATTCACTGACATGGCCTAATTGCTGCTGACCCCAGCCGCCAAAGTTCTGCGGCGCTTGGCTTTGAAGGCCGGAGTGGGAGCCTCGTTGAGTTGCAGCTGCACCGTGATTTTGAGCTATCTTGGGGCCTGTTGGTGGGGCCGGCGCCGGCACCGCGTTCACTCTGTTGAGGTTCGGCATGGGTGGTGGTGGTGGTGGCCACGGACCGTGATAGTTAGGAGGTGGCGGAGGAGGAATAGGAACCGCTCCAGGACCGAGTGGGAAACCTTTCGAGAATGGGTGTTGGAAAGGCATGGAAGATGGTGGGGAAGGCCTTCGAGCCTGTGTTTGTTGCATGGGCTGTGGACTTGCTGGCGGCGGTGGTCTTTGAAAGACTGAAACCGTCTGCGGCGGTGAGTACGGCGGAGATCTTGATCGGGAGCGGCTGCGCAGGCTGCGGTATCGTCTTCGCTCTCTTGATAAATTTCTTGACTTTGAAGATGGTCGCTGGCTACTCCGACGCCTCGAACCTTGATCTGATGACAATGAACTCGACCGACTTCTGTCCATAGTCCTGTCCCGGCTCCTGCTGCTGCCAGCATCGCTGTATCTTCTCCTCTTGCGGGGACTCAAACTTCTGTCGATGCTTCCAGCACGCCCCATAATCTTTCCAATATCTCCAAGGCCTACTCCTCTCTTCTTCATTTTCTCACAAAATGCTTTGGACCACCCATAGTATCCCTCGCCCTCCAAAATGTTCCCTGTGACCTCGTCGCCCAAGACTGACTGACCCAACTCATCGATATCCATATCATCTTGTCGACCTTCAAAGCCATGTGCATCTAGCGAATCCACGTTTTTCAAAAAGTCCTTCACCGCTTTCACCAGATTCTCATCTGCTGGTCCTGCTGTAAACTGCAGTGCTTTCACAAGCTGAGGGTTGACGGCTCTGGCTGAGTTCGGCATGACATGAGGCATCATGTTACCAGCAGGTAAGTCATAGAACGGGGTCAGAGGATCGCCATGGGAAGGTGGAAGAATATAAGGTGCATCTTTTCTCTCCTCGCTCAAGGCCTCTCCCGAGAGTTTTGTATCCTCGTCCGTGTTCGCGTGGCCAACTTTGGAAGCGGTGGAGGCTGTGTCTCTTAGTTTCTGAATGTATGAAGACTGGTAGTAGCCCTGCCCTTCCCAAATATCGAGGAGATCTGTAATACATTTGTGTTGCTTGACGTACACCTTCAAGCTGTAGGCAGATGCAGCTCCGAACAAATCCACAAGACAAGACTGGACATTTTCATTCGTTATAGAATATGCCGAAGGCGACTCGATGTGGTATTTGGTGTGATGAAGCAAATCGTTCAATAGATACAAGACATGAAGCTGTCTTCGCGGTGCGGACGGAGCCGCCTCCCTGGCTGGCTTCTGATCATCTCCATATGCGGCCTTCGCAAATGACAGGGAAAGCGCAACGAGGTATTTCCCAATGGCGATGATCCGGGCAGCAGATGGTATGATGTTCTTCAGTAGCCAATCTTTACACAGCTGTTCTCAGGATTCCATTTAGCTATCTCATCATCCATTCAGATGTAGCCGTCAAACCTGGATGTTTGCCGAAGAGCATTGCCTTAGCACAGCCTCAAGGAGAGTGTGAAAGCGAGCAATTTCCAATTTGGGAACTGATGTCGGATCCGGTCTGATCATGCCAGCTGCTAATGATGCTTTGGCAATTGCCAAGGAGTGAGATGCCATTATGATTGGCAATACATTAGAATTACCCTAGCACAGCAGCAAGCCTGTAAGGTTCTTCGAATTGAAAGTTGAAGGCATGAAGTACGAGTGAGTACAGATGAAGTGTAAGCTTTGCTGCTTTCCTCGGCAAAATGTTGGTCCGCTTTGAACATCGCCCTCGAGGACGGCCGAGGGGTCGGAATATCACTCCACTTATCCTCACATCCTCTATCGTAAGAGGGTCACTTCCACTGTCTACGACTACATCGCCGTGGGGAGAACGTAGACAAAGAGTTTAAAGATGGCGAGGACCATTGAACGACCAAAATTTGAGGTAAATACGCTTGGTGCTTGCCAGCTGTCAGACCTTGACAGCATGGTTGAAGCCATGCTGTCATGACTCTTCCACACTGTCAAGTGGCCTGCAGCAGCATGCTGTGCATAAGGCACATATTCCTGTGCCACTCCCCGCGCAACTCCTGCACTCGTCAGAATTCTGATTCCGAAACTACTTCGCGGTGTTCATGAAATCCCTTCATACTTTTCGCGTAGACATTGTGACTTCGGTTAGTTGGAAAAGCAATTTTTTGCGCAATGCAGCTTTTGGAAGTCGCTTTTTGCTGGTACCATAGACAAGATGAATGCCTTTGAGTAAATCCGAACGCTGATGGGTGCTCAGCAAGCCAACGTCTTCAACGAGAGTCGATGGGAAGTCGCTAGGAGAGGATGACCGAAGTATGCGGTTGCTATCGATCGTCCATGGTGCAATTCCATCATAGGATTTTAGACGCGAAGGCGGTATGAACACCCCAGTGATGGCACACAATAGAAATGAATCCCCTAGCTAGTGCGGTGCCTGCCTTTCAGGGCTTTTTCATGCCGAGTGTTGAGTTATTGCGATGGCCGCTACCAGCTGTCCTTGCGCCTTCAAGGTCCGTTGAATGTTTCCACTTTTCAGTGCACAGAGTGCAGCCTCCTCTCTCAGTACCAACATATCAAACGCCATGCCCTACCCTCCACCCTTTAACTAAATCTATCACCTTTTTTTGATTTATAAGGCTTACTCGCGACATATCTGGCCTCCTCCTGATCCTTGGTACCTCCATTTTCTAGAGGATGCTCCGTTGGCGCAGGATCGTGGCTGGCCTCGGTACTGGGACTGTTGGCATGATCGTGCGGCCTTTTGTGGCCCTGCTTCGGGCTGGGAGGCTTTGCGTAGAACTCCGCGTCGAGGGCGTCCTTCAATCGCCGCCGCTTCATTTCCTCCTCGTGGCGGGCTTTCTTATCGGCATTTACGGAACGCTTAGCGAAGACGTAGGCACCTCCACCGGCTAGCATCGTAAATTAGCAAGAGACACACTTTAGAGTTCCAGCACTTTATACCAACGATCAAGGCACCCCAGCCAATCCTATAATGAATCTATGAGCCATTTAAATTGTCTTCCTGCGTCTAAGACCTACCATGTTGACCGGATCTGATTAATTAGCCGCTGAACTTGTAAGTAGGGAAGAAAACGTACTGTATTCATCTTTCACGGTGATTCATTCAGACTGATGTTGTCGCGGAGGAGAAGTCCCAAGGAATTTCACTAGCGCGATTCGAAGCCGCTAAGTCTTGGCAGACATTACACACTGACTCAGCCAACTTCAGTTCATAACCAAGTCTTCTATGGCAGACATGTCGCCGTAAGAAGTCCCAAGCTGCCACAGGACCGTCGTAGGGTTCTGTTACGGCAAGCACTGTTTAGCGTCGCAGCTGGTCCTCTTCCGCAAACAGTTATGGCATCTAAGCGCAAGGCTTCTACGACTTCACGAAACTCGAGACCTGCAAAGAGATCCGCCTCAGGTGCGGCTACACCTCAGAGTATTGGCAGCAGTGATGAGTACTCAGCCGAGGGTTCAGAGGCCAGTGAAAGCGAAGCCGAGAACCTCAGCAAGGCCGTCAAGACATTCTCTGCCGACTCTTTGAAGAGCCGAAGTAAGGAGCAAAGTCGAACGCTTGATCGTGAAGCCAAGACTAGCGGCATCAGTAACCTGTCATATTTGAGTCTCAAACCTGATCACGAGAATCGCCCGTTATGGGTTGACGCCAAGAAGGCCAGGATTACTCTGGAGAGTTTCTCCCCTCTGGCTGCTCAGGCTCAAGACTTTCTGACGACGATTGCTGAGCCTTTGTCTCGACCGGAGTTTCTACACGAGTATGCCCTGACAGTGCATAGCCTTTATGCCGCTGTATCTGTTGGTCTTGTTCCTCAAGACATCATCAATTTCCTTGATCGTCTGTCAAAAACGCCTTTGCCGGAGGAGATCAAGAGCTTCATCCTGGGATGCACTCAAGCATTTGGGAAGGTCAAGCTAGTACTCAAACATAATCGGTATTTTCTTGAGACGCCTGATAACAAAGTGTTGCAAAGGCTGGTGCAGGATGAAGTTATTGGTGCTCAACGAACAGGGCAGGAAGAAGGCATCATCACAGAGAAGGCTCCGAAACTGGGTGGACTCGTCATTCCTGGCACTAAGGATGCTGCTGGCGTCAAACAGCAGCCCGGTTCTCAACAGCAGATCACGGATGGCCAAGGCGGAGTAGCCAAAGAGGATGATATCTACATGACTCTACGAGAAGATGACGACGACGACGATGATGACAATGAGAAGCATATTCATTCAGTAGAAATACCGGCAGGGGGCGTCGAGGCGGTCCAGAAAAGGTGCCTCGATCTTGGATATCCTGTTCTCGAGGAGTATGACTTTCACAACGACCAAGTCAACCCCAATCTGGATATAGACCTGAAACCGAATACCACGATTCGTACCTACCAGGAAAAAAGTTTGAGCAAGATGTTCAGCAATGGTCGAGCTCGCAGTGGAATCATAGTGCTACCATGTGGTGCAGGGAAGACTCTGGTAGGGATCACAGCGGCCTGTACCATCAGGAAAGGTATCGTGATACTCTGCACAAGCTCAATGTCTGTAGTACAGTGGAGATCAGAGTTTTTGAAGTGGAGCAATGTGTCCCCGAACGACATCGCAATATTTACATCTGATCACAAAGAAAGATTTTCGAAAAGTACTGGTATTATCATTTCTACGTACTCAATGGTCACGCAGACAAGGTCGAGGTCTTATGATGCAGGGAAGATGATGGAATTCATGCAAGAGAGGGAGTGGGGACTCATGATACTCGATGAAGTGCATGTCGTCCCTGCTTCTATCTTCAGAAGGGTCACGCATTCCATAGCAACGCATTCGAAACTTGGTCTTACAGCCACACTGCTACGTGAGGACGACAAAATTACAGATCTCAATTTCTTGATTGGTCCCAAGCTCTACGAGGCAAATTGGATGGAATTAGCTGACCAAGGACATATCGCAAAGGTACAATGTGCGGAAGTGTGGTGTCCAATGACGACCGAATTCTACCAGGAGTATCTACGAGAGACTTCTCGCAAGAGAGCGCTGCTGTACATCATGAATCCTCGAAAATTTCAGGCCTGTCAATTCCTGATTGACTATCATGAGAAGCGCGGAGACAAAGTCATCGTCTTCTCCGACAATGTCTTCGCTTTAAAAGCTTACGCCCTCAAGTTGAAGAAATTCTACATTTATGGCGGCACACCTCAAACCGAACGCCTGCGGGTGTTGGAAAATTTCCAACACAGCGAACTCGTCAACACCATCTTCCTGTCAAAGATTGGAGACACGTCACTTGATCTCCCAGAAGCGACTTGTCTGATCCAGATCTCGTCACATTATGGTTCCCGTCGCCAAGAAGCGCAGCGTCTGGGCCGCATTCTTCGAGCAAAACGACGAAATGACGAAGGATTCAATGCGTTCTTTTATTCTCTAGTGTCAAAAGACACGCAAGAAATGTATTATTCTTCGAAGAGACAGGCTTTCTTGGTCGATCAGGGCTATGCTTTCAAGGTGATCACGCATCTGCAAGGCATCGAGAACCTGCCCGGTCTAGCATACGCATCACCAGCAGAGAGAAGGGAGCTACTGCAGGAGGTTATGCTGCAGAACGAAACATCGGCAGACGTGGAAAAGGTGGACGACGATCTCTTCTCGGCACGCTCCAGCGGTACTAAAGGAAAAGGTGGCATGGTCGGCAAGAAAGGCGCGAAGCGGACGGCGGGCATGCTCAGTGATCTCAGTGGCGGCCAAGATATGGCCTACATCGAGTACAACAAGAGCAGGAACAAGGAGCTGAAGGGCAAGCACAACCCCCTTTTCAAAAAGATGGCCCGGGAGCAGCAGAGGCGGAAGCAACAGCGGCTGGAGGAGAATACCTAGCATCCAAACCATTGAATTTAATTGCATAGCGATGGCGTTTGCAGGAGAATAGTCCTTGCTTGAGGGGACGTTTGCAGGGAAGAATAGAAAGCAAGTGAAACAAAGAAAAAAGCAACTAGACCCTCTCTGCCCTCAACCCAATCATGGAAGATCACTTTCGGACACGTGAAGATGGCGACTTCTCGGCACTTTCTCGGTGCCGAATCTGGCGGACTTTGGTAAGCAGGATACACTACCATAGTGCAGCTACGCCTATGGTAGGTAGGGATAGTTTCCTGACCACTCACCTTTTTATGCCAGCAGGCAAGCAAGCGGTAGGACATGATCAGGGAGGGACCAGAGCGAATTGATGCCAGCAGTGTTCAGGCAAGCAAGCAGTAAGACGTCATCAGACAGCACCAGAGCGGGGAAAGCATCTGGTACAACATACCTGGTGTTGAAAATACCTATTCTTTCCCCTTTCCCCTTTTGCATTTTGTAAATCTCCCATAGCAAAAGATGGATTGCGCTCCTTGATCATCCTCTGATACGTCCCAATTTGCCCCTTCTTCTTCTCATCTAGGTAAAGAGGGCATCGGTCGTCTACAGAATCCGTAGCCTCCGGCATCATACCGACATGTCTGCCTCAGCTTCACAAGTGAAGCTGTCTCCAGACCATTGTGGCATATTCCATCTCCCGGGTGTCACGAAAGAATCTGCGGCCAAGGCATCCGAAGTCTTGCAGGAGGACCTCGAGAACCACCATTGTTTCTTCAATGCGTCTGGTTTCCACAGTAGGTCTGCGCTTCGTATTAGTTCTTCCTGGCTTCGGTCCACCATTAAAGATCGGTGTCCGGCTTCTCTGACGCGCGGCTATAGATCACATTCCTCATCACATTCTTACATTGTATGCTCTCGGCGCGGGTCCGGAGCTGATACAGAAGCATTATGAAAGCAACAAACAATATCAACGACCCCTGCAGCCAATCACCGACTCCATACTGGAGGATCTTCATGATAACGAGAAGTTTCGAGAGTATTTGGGCAGCGGTCGCTATTACCATGAGTGGCTTGTCTTCTTTCAAGGCGAGATAGACAGGAAAGGCTACGAGGTGGTCATCAATGAGTATTGCTTGAAAGGTGATGAGCGGGCAGATGATATGCTCGTACGCCTACACGGCGGTAAGCTACCACTCCTTGCGCCTGACAATTGGAGAGATACCCTCTAATACTATCCAAGGTTTCCTCCATCCGTGAGTGTACCCATGGAGCAGTTCGTTTCCGAATGACATCGTATCTCGAATCGCAAGACACGCTCCAAGAGCAAACCACCCACTGAGCTTGCCTCACAGCCCATATCTTCCCCTAAAGAAGCCATGCTGACTCCTGAATTTGTAGGATGATTCACTTAGGCTTCGGAGTCGAATTTGAACAGCCAGCAATCGTTGCTGAAGCTCTTGCTCAAGCAGCCGTACATGAGTCATGGCTAGGGCCTTTCATGCTCGATGCTGAGAAAGCGGCCACTTCAACCGGTAAAGGCAAGCCGATGGTAGAGCTATTGGATGAAGTACGTGCAAACAAAAAACTCAGTGAAGCCGCCCAGTGGGACGACTCGAACAAAATCCGAGATGGTATTCTGGTCCGTGCACCCGATGAGATGATAAGCATCGCCAAAGAATGGAAGGTAATGCCAGGTGCAGTAATCGAGAAGACAGGCGAAATGACGAACGTGAGTTGTGTTTCCGCAATCAGTTCTTCCTGATTCGTGCTGCAATTTGAGTTGCAAGACTCGTCGCAGGAACAAAACACTCCCGGAACCGATTTCACGACTCCGATTTGACACGAGCGAGAAGGGATCTACTGACTCCAAGATTCTTCAGGCGGCCGTCTATTATACCGGAGGAGCCCAGTATCCACCAAAGCCGATAAAATTCGACTTTTACTACATTCACTGCGTCAATTGCTCAATATTTTATGACGCATTCTCAAAGCAGGCGACTTGGATAACCGACGAGAATAAGGCTCGTCTCTTGGAGTGGAAAGGACGATTCGACCTCTGTATGTATGCTTCCAGAAGGTCACCAAAGCCGAGAACGGACATCATCAACGAATATGAACCTAAGCACCCGGAAACAGCGAAAGACACTGTTGTTGAAAAGCATTCTTGGGACGGCATTGTCACCCGTGTACTCCACCTCGACGACGATGGCCATGCTGCCAAACTCGTCAGAGCTCTCGCACACGCGGAGAACATCTGTGCAGCGTATAGTATGAACGACCCTCTTTTCCGTATCAAAGGCGACATGTGGTTGCAGCTCGGGCATATGGGTAAGCTTCCACAGGATCACTCCTGGGATTGGCTGACCATATTCTTAGCGATCGACAGTGTAGAAGGCGCAGAAAACACTGGAGGTGCTTGGGTCAGATCAGCAGGATTCCCACAAGCTTGGGAGCAGTAAGTTATATTTGGCTTCCTGCTAGTGTTCTGGGCCGTCAATCTGGTCAAGCTGCTGACTCTGCGACTGCAGATTCGAGGACCATCCCCGGGCACAGGTTTGAGGCCAATAGTGATAGCTTACCTTTGTTCTTCGTATCTGATTGCAGTGGTCAAGGATTTAAATATCTATTGTGCTGTAGGGTTGGCGGCTAAGAAAAAGGCAATCTGCTTGTTTTTGGGTACGTGTTCCATAATGTGTGTAAATGTGGGGATTACCCAATGAACGAAGATGTGGTTGGGTTGTAGCCCTTCCAATCTGCTAAGCAGATGTAAGAATGGACTGAACAAGCGAAGCATTCTGCGATGTACGTGCGGAAAAAGACCTGGAGTCTCTGGGGCTCGCCCGGGATTACGGTCCTATCTAGATGGATATGTAAAGGTTCGATAACCGACCGAAATTTGACAGCGCGAACCGCGCGGTGGACATCCAATCATCCACTTTGCCCTACCAAATCGTGTCTGAATATATGGCCCGGCCCCTTCGCTATGTTCTAGCAATCATTACTGCTGCTGTACTACCACAGTCGCTTTACTTCGTAGCGCTCCTCTTCCTCTTGGAAGGATTCCACGATGAGGACCGCCCCTGACCACGCCTCGTCCTCCTCTACCACCTCCTCTGCTATCTAGACTTGCTGGGGGTGGCGTATTTGCATATGATCGTGACTGGAAGGCTGAATTGGTTTGAGCCACAGCATTGTCAGCCTCGGCGCCGTCCAGCCTTGCATAAACGTTTCGGTTGATTTGCTGAGAGTTAGGACCGCCACTCGTGCTATTTGGCTGTCCACCTCTTCCACGAGAGCCATTAAATTGCGCGGACGGTTGATTGCGTATTGGAAGTGTTTGCTGTTGCCCATCCTGCCCATCGATACGGCCGGGACCACCTCGACCCCTCGGGGCTCCACCACGAAATCCATTCGACTGTCCAGCCACGGCTCCCCGGAAAGATCCTCGAAGAGGTCCTGGCACCTGTGCTGGAACTAGTTGCCCTCGACCGTTTGGTCCAAGGGGCGCTCCGTATCCATTTACGGTTAACCGCTGCGTTTGAGCTTGCGGCCGATTTTGCTCGCCGGCACGAGATCCGGCGACCACCTGACGATCCGTGAGATTTAATACAGTATGAATAGGTACGGTAGATCCTCGAAACGGCGAGCATCTGTTTTCCAACGATGTACCACTCATAAAGGTGACATCAAAGACGACATCGAGAAGAACAGTCCTTGAGGTCCGCGTCTTCCCAACGACTGTCCCGCGTGTTGCTATCGGCACTCGGCCTGAATCTTGGACATACACTACGCGATCGCCAAGCGAGAATCGCTGGTGACTCAGTCTTTGCTCCGCATCTGAGGGTTTCAATAGGGCGTTCCTAGGTGCGCCATTGATTTTCTTGTTGACACCTTTTCCCGGTGGATCCATCTGGAAGGCCTGATCGGCAGCCTGCTCGATCTTGCCGACTGCTTCAGAGTCCAGCTGCTCTGCGTCCAGAGGTACTTTCTCAAAGCTTTTGGATTCAATCTCCTTGAGCCAAGTCTGTATGGCCTTTATCCTATCCTTCGCTTCGGATTGAGGGTAGAAGTCAGTGGCGTCATAAACGTTGCCTTGCGAGTTCCGTTGTATTCCAGCGATGAATTCCGGGAACTTGATCATGTATTGTTGTATCAGCTGGACTGCCTTCTCGCTGAACTCCCAGCCGGACGTTTTTCGCGAGTACCCAAGCACCTTTAGTTTCTTCGCTTCAAATTTCAGATTCAGGCCCAGATTGACCCTATTATCATCAAGAGCCACTTGGAAAGAAGAGGTAATCTTGCTGAGGACGAGAGGGTTCAGGCCTAAAGTTTTTGCAACCGCGAACGAAGGGGTGTAGTGCGAGTGACGGTCTGCATCCTTCACTATCTGACGGCCGAACTCTGGGACTTTTGCTGCCACAGTCGAGACCCACAGGTCCGCTTTGTTCGCTGTGTGGCCAACAACCTGTAAAGGCCTGCCGTAATTGAACTCCCCAAGGAAAAAAGCTCTTGATCCTATGGGAAATTCTTCTTCTATTGAGAGTGCAGCCTTTTCCAAGAAACGCGGGTCTTCGCTGGCTACTTCCTCTACCACGGTTTGCGAAGCATAATCCGTTTCTATACCTTCTATGTGTGCGTACTCCTTGACGGTGGCCCCATCATCAGTCTTCTTTAAACCTTTCAGAGTGTCGACGTGGACGAGTGATTGGATTCCCCCAATCATCATCCCTAATCTCTTACTGTAGACAGATTCGATCCGCTCGGCTTTCCTATGCCACATATCGATCTCTTGGGGGCCGTGAGGTACCGCAATTGGCTGACCTGCACCATTCTCGGGCATGCTATAGTTGAACAATTCATCGGAGACCCGGATGACTTTGGCTTCGGATAGAAAAGGGTAGCCAATATGGACTTTACGACCAAGCAAAGACTTTGCGGCTTCGACCTTTGTCCGCGGCTCCGGCTCCAGCAAGGCGACGACCATACTCTCGTTTCTGCTGTCTTGTTGGAAGATGTTCACACCATGGAAATCAAGGTTTCCCGCGAAGGGTAGCGTGTTCAAGCTTGGAAAGCCAGCGAGTGCAGACTCCCCAAGTTTGACACCACGCATTAACCCGACATGATAATCCAAGCCTTCCATCGTTGGTAGATCGAAAATGTTCTCCACACAGTGGCAATTCGATATATCGGGAAATATGCCAACAAGAGAACTAGGATAGGTAAATTCAACATCTCGCGAGTAGGAAAATCTCAACGACACTCCGAATTCGTTGCGATCCTTTTCGGCTTGGGATAGCATATGTTCCTTGGTTTTCATTGCTGGCAACAATCGACGCTCATCGATGAAAGGAATTTTGACTACCGCCTCCCATTCCATCTTCTTGCCGTTCATGTCCAATTCAAAGTCTCGAGGATAAAAATCGATGATGGGCGATTTAGGATTTGTCATAAGATCGTGATAGGGTGTTGGTACAATGGTCTTGCTTCGGTCAGGTAAGACGCCCATCAATTGCTGATATGGTCTGAACGGCTGTCCTAGCTGAAACTTTATGTCTGCGTTCAAGCCCAATTTGACATCTATAAGGTGTCAGTAGAAGCACTGAAGATTCGCAGCGGAGGGAAACTGAAAGAGCGCTTACCCGATATCATTGGAGAGTAATGGTACCCGTAATACCACGGCCAGGATGCCACTCCACGGTAGTAATACAATAGCACCCACTGCAACCCCTGAACGTAATTTTCTGTCAAGTTGCGCATTTCTGTGTCGTTTTCCCGGCCCCATCCGAACTTGTTCTTATAATATTTGTCTTTCCAAGTCTGAAATTTCTCCTCGTATTTCTTGTCCACTTGCTCCTGCACTTCTTCTGGCGTGAAATCGACTACCTTAGCATTATCGTAGCGTTTGATGACACGAAGCAATGCGATCGATGCCTCCTCATCTTCCACATCCTCATCATCTTCGTCTCCTTGAAGTTTGCTAGGAAAGTCGAGCTGCAAATGTTTTTCACCCTCATCATTTGCCACGCTCTTCCATTGCAAATGGAAATCTTCAGCCAGCTCTTGGACAAATTTCCTATCTCTGGCATTCAAGTTTGGAGGGAACTCGAAAGAAGCCTTTGGAGTGGAAGGATCATTGGACCGACTGCTGACGTATTTCTTCACTTGCTTGAACAGGTCCTTCTGATGACTAGACATCGACAAAGGCGCTTTTTTGTTCCTCCGCCCGTCTTTCTCCATGACATCCACTTTTCCCATTTGTTTTCCTTTGAACCAACTTTCATCAGCACTCTCGGATTCGAAAAAGCGATATTCTACGTGAGAAAGTTCCTCCAAGAGAAGTGCTAGCCGCGTCATGTTGATAGCGCCGCGTTCATTGATGTAACCACCAGCTTTCGGTAGGACGGATTTATACACCTTGAACATGAGAGCCAATGCCCCTTCGTTAATATGCAGGTTCGGAAGGTTTGGCAGAAAGTCATTCCCAACAAAGAAAGCCATCAAGATAAAGTCGTCTATGACTCGTTCCATGTCAAAAGGGATATCCAGAACAGATGGTTCCTTTAGCTCCTGAAACTCCAACTCCAAATACTCTCTGACAATGCACAGGTGCATCAAGTAGAAATTCTGATGCTCCAGTTCCTTGGATTTCTTCTGGGTCGCTCGACCGAAAGTGACCTCCTCTCGCAGCAAGCAAAAATGAGGGTCGTGGCTGAGCAGGCCCAACATGATAAGGTCCGCGTCAAGGCCATAAAGACAATGTCTGATGTTAGCATCATACTCTGGCTGAGCTTTCGCAAGTCTGATATATTCCATAATTTTGTGCTCTCCTTCCCCAGGTACTTCGTGCCCTGAAAGCACAATCTCAACGCCCTGCCAGTCAATGTCCTCTGAAATCTTTTTGTTGATGAAATATTTGAGTTGTCGTGTCAGCTTGGCCATGAAATCCGTCCCTGTGCCTGTAAGCTCTTTGCCCGAGTTTTGCGCCATTAACATAGATCGGCCTTACCCGGGGTGATGCAATTGCTATCGAAAGCATCCTCTGTGGGCATCTCGACACCTTCTCGCAACGCCCTCTCCTTTGCTTTCTCGGCGTCCAAAGCCGTTCTGAATCGGCGAGCTCGCTGCTGGTTCATCTTGGCACGAGGAGCAACACCATCAATCGCCATGAAAAATAACTTTCTGGGCCGGATCTTGCCGAATAGATGTTCAATGTAGTTGAAAATAGCAATGAACATCTTCTCCTCGGTCATGCGATATGTAGGCGAATCTGAATCGTTGTGGGTACAGTTGTGTATGATGCCGTTCATGTCGAGGTCTAGAGACATACATCAGGCGCTGTAATCATCCTCATCTGTCCAGGTCTGCATAGCTTACAGAGATTGTCAAATTCAGGTATCCGGTTCTCCGCTATGAGTTGAGATATTGCCGGATACCTCTCGCTCATCCTGCGCAATGTAAGTATTCAATCCTCCTTCTGAATGACAAGGGTGGTACCATCTGAAGAATTTAGGAACACCCATCTTGACGTTTTCGTAATGCTGTCCGAGAGGTTATTGCCTGGTCAGAATGCCAATATCCGTCAGAAGTCCATTTGAGTTTGTATGTATTCACTGCCTCATCAGCCTCTTCACTATATATGGAGACAGAAAGTGAAGGGTCTGTGTGAATTATAGGAAAAGGTCTGGTAAGGAAGCTGGTTGCATCTCAAGACATGCCACTGCCCGCACTAGGCTACTTTCGTTCACGCGCTGGGAACCGCGCTGCTGCGCGTAACCCCAGATTGACTACTTTACTGCCTTCTGCAATACCTAGTACCCATCATCCAAATTCTTACCCTGTCAATTTCGAAGACCTTCAATTCACACCAAGCGTAGACGATAACTGTGATCTGCCTTCCAGCTGGTACTCTACCATACGGCTTGGACTAGGGATCTGCGATCCTCTCCTTCACGATGGAGAACGGTGGGGATCACGAGCTCGGCAGTAAAGAGACTGTTCCTTTTGCCAGCAGGTCTCAGACTGACATCTTGACTGCAGTGACTATCGACGAGGAGCGAGAAGAGGAGCAAATGGAGGAGAAAATTGTCAATGAAGAATATAAAACATGGAAAAAGAATGCGCCCTTTCTCTACGATCTGATGCTCAGCACCGCTCTTGAATGGCCTACACTCACGACACAATGGCTGCCAGATAAGCAAGAGTACGTTTAAACAGGCTGCATAGAACAAGCATCCCACTCACAAGGGCAGGATTCCAGAAAAGGATTATGCAACTCATCGACTTCTTATTGGCACACACACATCCAACGAAGCTCAAAACTATTTACAGATAGCTCAAGTACAACTGCCGAAGCCGGTCACCCCCGATGCAGCAGATTACGATGAGGATCGGGAAGAGATTGGCGGATATGGGGGCGGAGCTTCAAAGAATTCACCAGTCATGGAAGTCAAATTCAACATTGTTCAGAAGATAAATCATCCAGGCGAGGTCAACAAAGCCAGATATCAGCCCCAGAACCCAAATATAATCGCAACATTGTGCGTGGATGGGAGGGTCATGATATGGGACAGAACAAAACACCCCAGCCAGCCCACGGGAAACATAAATCCGCAAATGGAGCTCCTGGGTCACGATTCAGAAGGCTTTGGACTGAGCTGGAGCCCCCACCAAGCGGGACATCTCGCTACTGGGAGCGAAGACCAGACAGTAAGATTATGGTGAGTCCGCAGAGTATGCCGTTACCTTCGACTTGCTCACTTTCTAGGGATATAACGAAGTTCACCACCAGCAACAAAGCTCTTCACGCTACTCGAACCTATACCCACCATACCGCCATTGTAAATGACGTTCAACATCACCCTCTACATGCTTCTCTAATTGGTACCGTCTCTGATGATCTCACCCTCCAAATTCTCGACACTCGCTCCCCCTCGACCGCATCCTCCGCAACACAGGCCGTCGACGGACACCAAGACGCCGTTAACGCCTTATCTTTCAACCCAGCTAGCGAGTACGTCTTGGCTACAGGTTCAGCCGACAAGTCGATAGGAATATGGGACTTACGGAACCTGAAGTCAAAATTGCATGCTCTCGTCGGTCATAATGACTCGGTTACATCGCTTGCGTGGCATCCCTTCGAGGAAGCCATTCTCGGAAGCTCGAGCTATGACCGGCGCGTAATATTTTGGGATCTCAGCCGCGTGGGCGAGGAGCAGACGCCTGATGATGCAGAGGATGGCCCACCTGAGCTGTAAATATATCCAACCCCATCTACAGGCTGACTGGGAGGTGAGGCTAACTTATGAAGGCTGTTCATGCACGGCGGCCACACAAACCGCATCGCCGATTTCAGCTGGAATATGAATGATCCGTGGGTTCTCTGCAGCGCAGCGGAGGATAATCTGATACAGGTCTGGAAGGTAGCAAATGCGATTGTGGGGAAGGATGCGGACGACGTGCCTATTGAGGAGCTGGAGTAATGAAGCGCATCCTTTCGGAGCTGATCTCATGTAGCATGCTGGATACCACAGCACCTTACATTCTACACAGAGCGCTAAAGGCGGTCACCTTCTCAGAGATACCATGGACTTTCTACCAAAAGTGATGGATGTGATTCCTAATGTACGTGAAAAAAGTCTCCGCTACCTAAAGGCCGTATGAGTGAATAGCTACATCATCAAACGCACTGAGTGGAATCCATAGCCCAACGAGCAGAGAGACAGAGTCATAACCAACCCCCCCCCCCCAAGAGCAAAAGTGTTTGCCTTTCGACCAGGCTATGCTACCTAGGGTCTAATGCTACCGTCACCAGACCCCATGCTTAGCCAAACTCCATAAAGAGAACATTCAAAGCTTCTAGGACCAAAACCAGCCGCTAGGTTTGTTCACTTTGGTCTCCCTGTCCTTCCCGGTGTTCCTAACATCCTCATCTTTGATAGACTTTGACGCAGCATCATGTGTCTGGCGGACAGCATTCTGATGTTGTACTGTTTCCGTGTTCTCTTCGCGCCCGTCCGAGAAGCGTTTTATGAGCACAACCTTGGTGTGTACGCTACCGTCTTGGAGAGTAGTCCGCTCCGTAGTGGTGAGGGTGGAGAGTATACTCGGGGTTCTAGTGTCTGTGTCGGACGGAGAGGAGTCCTGTTGGAGATGTGCAAAGCGTCGAGCGGCGGCCCTGGCAGTACCCTGTGATGTTGGCCGCTGAGAGCCAAAGAATCTGTCGTACACGTCCAATTCCGTAACCCCAGCATCACGTTCCTCATCGAGATCATCATTGTCCGCGTCTTCTTCCTCATCAGCGTCATTCTCGGGCTGCCTTGCGTTGGTAAAGCGTGACAGAAGTCCGAGATCCTGGTTTGTAGCCTCTGACGTCTTGCCAGCAGCACTGCTCGATTCCTCGGTATCTTCTACTTGTTTGCATATTGCCAAATCTATCATTCCTCTCACCCAGTCGACGCTGCTTTCCGGCATTCTCTGCGAGCACTTAGGTGGTAGTTCCTGACCATTTTGCACAGCTAGCAGATCCTCGAACGCTTCTCTCCACTTGGCGCCGTGATCGCAAAGATGGGGTTGCTGCTCGAGCCGCACAGGCGAGTATGGGCTGTAAAGTAGGTAAGCTATTGGAACAGAGGGCAGCTGCTCCCCAAGCACTGGAGCAGTAAGAATGTTACTTGGGAGACATAGGCTGAAGGTAGCAAGTGAGAGATAAGAGCGGGTAGCATCGTCCATGAGGCAAATGTTAAGGCCTGGCTTCTCCAACGGAAGTCCCTCCTGCTCAGTCGGTCTGTAAGGGCATCTCCGAAGTTCACTGTCGTCACAACTAGTGGGCTCCTGGATGTCTCCCTGGATAGCATGCTGACCCTCCTTGTGGGCTCTGGTATACACGTCCATGATCCTCCCCGCTTCATCTGCTTCGCGGGCAAGGCATTGTGATGACTCTCGTGCCTCCTGTAACCATTTCTCGTAGTCCTGAACTGAGCGGCGAGGAGTGGTCGAAGGAGATGCAAACAGTGAGGATATACTGAAGACACCGTTCATGAGAGTCGACATCTGGTCGTCGGCAAATCGGCGGAAGGCAATGAACGGGTTCGCGTCTTCCTGTGCTTTCTGACATGTATTCTCCTCGTCGGAGGGTGCCATGGTAGGATACAAAATTGACTCCAGAGGATATTTGGGACAAATTGGGAAGTGATCGAATGTTGCGTTCGAAGACAGTCAAGGTCAAATCTAGGTGCGAAGTCGAGGGGTAGACGCGGGCTGTCTCAAAAGGCCGAGATGCCGATCTTTCGATTGGCTACGAGTGCCCGTTTCTTTTCTCCCCTCCAGAATTGTCAGAATTGTTATCATATAAAGTACATGTACCTACGTACCTAGGTACAGACTCTCGGGCAAATTGGCAGGATTCTACCTCCAATCATTTGCTTGTCTTGTACTTGCTACTCTAAATACGCTACATCATTACGCAGCGGCAAAGACGCCGTCTGCATCATAGTTGTGATTGCGGTGAGAGGATTGCCATTCATGTGTCTTAGGCGTATTTGCATTCCATCTCTGGATATGCTGTTGACGATTCTAGGACCCAAATGGAACCGAGCGATATTTTTGCTTTCGAGGTGAGGAAGAGCGCGTAGGGGAAGAAAGCTCCGACAGAGGGAACCGCTAGTCTCAAAGGCGGAGACACTCACACTCATACTACCTTTCTTCTCGTCATCACGAAGCAGGTACTGAGATCTGGCGCCTTGCTCTTCTCTTCGCCAGCCTGCGTACCCTCATCCAAAACTTCTCTTCACCCTTTCCAACCACTCCGGCTCTTCAGACGATGCCTGGTGTAGGGATCCCCGAGCACGTCAACGTCACCCAGATCACAGTTCCTGTTGTGTGGACGAACCACCTGAATAGGCGTGAGCAGTCCGCTCAACAACAGACACATTAGAAGGTGCTTACATATAATATAGGCCAGTATAGCCACCGCTGGAGCTGTCATTCATTCTCAAAGCCCAATTTGTCACAAACGACCACGGTATACTGGTTGACGTACACCATATTTTCAACTGGAAAAAGGCCGAGTTTGCCGTGAACAAGTTGCCGGCTTTGCTATTGAGTCTGGCAGGTAAGGAGGCAGCTGCGCTTTGTTCACTCATGGCAGACGCCTGTCTCTTGATGTTGCTGTAGAAACTAGAGCAAGGTTTATCAGTGAATGATATGCTGTTGCAGGAAGAGGATCGCTCAGGAGCTCATACGACTCAAGAGCTTGGGCCGCTGATTCCACAGGCACCAGCGCGTAGTATTTGATGACGTGCATAGTCCATTGGCCAAGTTCCGTTGACACGAGATCATTGATATCAACGCGTTTGGCGAGCGGAAGTGGTCCGAGAGTACCGTCGGAAGAAAGAGATACTTGCTCTCGCTTGGTTTCGACATCATCGCCTTTTCTGGTAAGCAATGGCGTATGTGGGGTAGCTGAAGAGATGACTGTGAGAGAGGCAAGGACAGCTGACAGCGCTGAGACATGGCAGACATTGATCAAACGCATTATTGAGCACCTAGCAACTGTTGCCAGCTCCAGTAGAGACAGAAAAGCTTGCTTGTCTCTCAAAGTTATGTCTTCGTTTGTGTTTATCCCTCACTGGTGATTCCGCACTGGCGCCCACGCGCCATGAGAGGTGCCTGGCGAAACTGTTGATGGGTCGCAATCAAATTTGAACTGATAGGCGGCTGTATGTTTCATCGGAGATTTCCCGTGGGAACTGCATTCTCCTCTCAGCACTTGATTGCTCCCAGTTTTCATGGTCGCAAAAGAATGCTGGTGGATGTCGCGACACCGCGAGACTGGCGCTAACCAAGATCTTTGAAATGAAGGAAAAAAGGTGGAATTGCTCTTGAACAAGTAGGCAGCAATTCGTGCTCTATCGAAGAACTCACGACAGAGATTAGTTCATCAAATGAATGGAATGAAAGCATTAAATTGGCCAGACAAAGTGGGACCAATGACCTAGCGTTGTGGAAGTAGACGATCATCGGAGAGCAAAAACCCAGTGGAGGGTAAAGTCTGCCAGTTCTTATCATCAAGGAAAACCCTAGCATACAGAGAAGGACAAACCGTATCTCAAAGGTATCTGAAGTATTGGGAGTTCTTGGGCAGGCCTCACAATCTTGCCTCGAGCCTGAAGATAGGCTTTCAGCATAGCAAAGTGCTCCCCAAACCTTTGGAATCAAATAGGTAGAGGAATAACGGCATTCTTTGTCAAATAGAACGAATCCGATTCTCTGATGTTCTAAGTCTATGATCGCCTCATCATCTCGTGTCGTGGATGTGCCAAAACGTTAGTCTTCTGGCGTTGTACTGGAAGCTTCCATCCAGTTCAATATCCCACTCTGCTCACTTTGTTTCGAGTAAGCTTAACCCTGGTGTCGTTTGATCAGCCCTCCAGAGAGCAATGTCGATAGTGAAGAGTGCTTGTTTCCCTTGTCTTGCGGGACCGAGATGAATGTTGTATAGTCGCATATGCGAGTGCATGTGTGTGCACTCCCCTTCTTCATTTACCTCAAATCAATCCCATCCTCATTCCCAACCGCCCGTTCGTTCTTTTCTCGGTAGCTCTAGCATAGCCTTTTCATACGTTGCTTCAATTATATTCATCTGTCGACCATGAAGTTCTCAACTCCGATGGTGCCGAGAACAGCAATCGCCCTCCTATCAACTCGCACAGTATGTTCTGCATGGACGTTGACCTTCGAATCCTACACCCTAGTGCGCCATAGTGCCGCCGGGTTCGCTTCGATGCCATCGGGAACTGCAAAAGAAACCATGCGACCGAGGTACATTACCACTTCCCCTTCCTTCCCGACAGCAAGCGATGCTGACAGTAGTAAACCGCACAACAGAGTCTCAACGGTCTCATTCCTGCTTTCACTGAGGTTTCCAGGGCCCCTTCCCAGAACCGAACTACCCTTGTACATATACTTCCTCATCATTCCACTATTCCTGCCAGAAACCGCCAATCAAAAAGCATCATTTTCGGGAGTAAAGGTCTCTTACACCCTCAACCCAATTAAGCGTAAATCGCCTAGTATTCGCATGAAAGAAGCAAAGTCCTGACCCAGTTCTGGTTCTTTAGGTTCCGGACGTGTTTTCGAACAGCCCGACATTGATGATGGTCCGCAATATTCATTGAATCTGAGTTGTAAGACTAGTAGATTGGGGTGTAGTAACAGGTGCGATATGTGGGGAAGATTAACGATTAGGAGGAGGCGAGATGGGCCAGAGCACAAAAAATCAAACGTTCCATTATATGCGTGGGCTTTCATGAAACTCTCGAGTGAGGAGAAGGCACTTCTCGACTGGAAAAAAAATGGTTCGATAATAATGACGACGCATGTTTGGTATGTACCGTGGTACCGTATCATCCGTATGTTGTTACGGGTTATATTACGGCAAGAAGCCAGAGATACGGGTAACGCTAGCGTAAATATCACCTCCTGAAGCTGTTAGGTACACTTACGTCAACCTAAGCTGCAACGTGTTTTCGGCTTCACCTCTGTGTTCCTGTCGAGATGCATTCGACCCTAGTCAGGGCTCAGAATGTCTTTGGCTTCTTCACTACTGTAGCGTTCTGCACTGCGATACTCACTGCTCTATCCGTGGTTTTCACAACTCAAGAACCGTCCGCGAAGATTGAGTTGCGCAATGTACAGGTGTAAGCCGCCCACTAAGAGACGTGACAGTTTTGTTGTCTAATAACACATACAGAGTAAAAGGACGGCCGCACTACTATTCACCGAAAAAGGAAGAATACGCCCACATAAAATTTGACCTTGACGCTGGTTCGTCTGCTTCACCAAAGCTGTCTGTGCGACAAGCCAGTTATTGATTCTACATAGACTTCACCTCTCTCTTCAATTGGAACACGAAGCAGTTGTTTGTCTGGGTTGTTGCAACTTATCCATCTCCCGACGCATCGTCTTTGTCCCAGGCAGTCATTTGGGACACCATCATCAACTCCCATAGCCAATCGCATCCCTTCAACCCACTACAATTGTTCACCAAGCCTCCTCCTGCGAAGAAGTCCAGCAAAGCTAAAAAACAGTCCGCGAAGAAGCAAGAACTGGATCCAGAACCAGGCATTCTTCGTCTCAAAAACACGAAACCCAAGTATCAGGTCACCGACATCAGCGGGATCCTTTCGGAGCGTACCAATGTCACTTTGGAAATCGGATGGAATGTTCAGCCGTGGGTTGGTGCATTAACATGGACGCTTGGTGAAGGTCAGGTGCTGGGTAGATGGAAGGGGGTCCAGGGGGGGAAGAGCAAGGCGTTTGACATGCCTCCGTTGAAGAAGAAGAGCGTTGGCTCGGAGACAGTGGTATCATCAGGAGAAACGCCCCAAGCAGCCGAAGCGTCTGCAGTCATATGAAGATGCGTCTATGGATAGAGTGCGAATACTGCAAGTGTTTGGAGTTTTTCTGCTTTTGAAACAATTTGGGGTCCAAATGATCTATTGACAAGAATCGGCGAAGATACCCCTCCATTGGAGAATAGAGCCCACAACACATTGCATTTCCACATTGTTTGAGGGATTGAGGGGGAGGAAAGAGTTCATATTCTTTGCATTCCACACCTACCAAACTGCTGAGCGTCAGTGAAACAGCGATGCGATGCTTACAGCCCGCCCCCACACTGAGTGTTTTCCCTTTCGGCTGATCGACAGGGTTCACTTTCTAGCCTCAGGAATCGGGCCATGACCTCATCTCACGCACTCCTTCGGATTTACAGTTACTCTACGATTATTTGCGAGTAAATTATCTTCGCTACGTACGACTGCAGCATTCGCTTCTCGTGAACTGGTCGCTGCAATGCCGCAACCGGAACTGCCTGAGCCCGCACACGCTGAAGTCGACTCGATGCTGTCCCGAAAATTCGGCAAAGAAGTCGCAAATTATTTCTCTGGTTCGCTCTTTCACCACTGCCATGCAAATCCGGGAGCTCACCTGCCTAGGATCACCCTTGAACAGAGTGTCCTTTATGCGAACGGATCATGCCTTTCTATCCGCGGCCTTGAAGCATCCTTCGACCTACTTCTTGCTCTTCAACAATCTATCACCGTTGGCAAAAGACCCTACCAAGCTCGAGTATGCCTCATTCAAAGACATTCAACCTCTGGTTGGTGATGATCCCTACTCCAAAACCGAGGAGCAGTTGGTATCAGAATACAATTCATCGATCACAGTCTCTCAACTTCTGTTCCTTGGCCTTGACGAACGTAAAAAGTCCGGATTTGAATGGTCCATTTACCATGGGTCTCCCTACTTCGCTCTTGATGTCACTCCAAAGGGCACGATTAGTTCTGCGGCTGAGAGGTTGATCGAGTTAATGAAGTCTCGCGGACTGCAATTCGTCGAAGGCCGTATGCACATGTCTCTTCCTGCCGAACAGGCAGCTATATACGCGCAAGCACGAGCTCTCCTTGATTGGAACGCACGCAATCCTTTCTGCGCTCAATGCGGCCAACCTACCTTGTCCATCAACGCTGGCACAAAGCGAACTTGTCCACCGAAAGACATGGCCTCTCTGACCAACACCACCTCTATTGGATCAACGACTGCTGCCACACCCGCCACAGAACGCCCAGACTGTGCAACCAGAAAGGGCATATCAAACCTGTGTTTCCCTAGAACCGATCCGGTATGTACATTTCGGAGCAATTACCTCCCATTTCATACCACATTACGAGCTGCAAGACATGTTTCTGGAGTAGAAGTGTTCGTTTACTCCCCTAAAGCTATCTCACCGCTCGAATATTTTCCCCGGAGAAGAGATGCTAATTCCGAACCCTCCACAGACAGTCATCATGGCCGTGCTCTCCGCTGATTCTGAGCGCATTCTCCTCGGCCGGCAGAAACGCTGGCCAAAATATTGGTATAGCACATTAGCGGGCTTCGTCGAGCCCGCAGAGTCTGTAGAAGAAGCGGTCCGTCGTGAAGTTTGGGAAGAAAGTGGGGTAACCCTGGGCCGCGTAGTAATCCATTCAACGCAGCCATGGCCTTATCCTGCGAATCTCATGATTGGAGCAATAGGGCAATGTACACCGGGGGGAGAAGAAATCCTGTTGAAGCATGATCCGGAGTTGGAAGATGCGAAATGGGTGACTTTGGCAGAGGTGAAAGAGGCACTGCAAGTAGGAACGAGTGGATTGGGAGAGGAAGCTGGGGAAGGTTATAAAGAGGGCGGTCTCAGATTACCACCGAGAACGGCGATTGCAAATCAGCTGCTCAGCGCTGTCACGGGTGGACTTTTAGAAGGAGGAAACGGAGAATCAAGGATGTAGAGAGAGGATGTCATTCCCTGTTCGTGGATATTGCGGCTGATCGTTGTTCGACTGGAGACCATAGATCGCCTCACCACCAATAGAATCTTGTAAAGGCCACGTAAACAGACACCTTCTACGAGCTTGCAAGTTCGCCTTCTAATTCCAAAGATCGCAATAAACAATCCATTGGCCGAAATCCTCTTTATACCCAACGTACAACTGGTGCAGACGGGACCTTGGCGAAATGATTGCGCTACTGTAGTGCTTAGCTCTAACCATTACTCTTAGGCTGTGAGAAAGCATCTTGATTCTCTTAAGACTCTAATGGACTCGCTACCATTTCCTCCAAAATCGATAGCTGCTATACCCTCCTATCTGATGAACGGAAAAACGCACACAGCTCATAGTAGCTCTCCCCTACGTCCCTCCACGCGGACGTCGGTCAACGCCGAAGAGCGAGAGAGACTCACAGCTTCTATTGCATCCTCAAATGCCGGACGTCAACCTATAGATCTGGATTCCGTAGGGTCGCCAAAGGTCAATGGCCATGGATCATATTCCCTGGAGGTGCCAGACGAAGATTCGCCAGCTCCAACCAATATCGATGTCTCTGCCAGGGATCCTAGAGACGAAGCACCGTCTCAGACGACTCCCACTGTGAGCCGGCCTGCCAGCCCGTACACGTTAAATCCTCCAATAGACTTTGATGGGTTGAGTTGGCCGAGTGAGTCATGGCTTGATTGAGGTTGCAAGATAACGCTGAAGGAATATCTTAGGTCTTGGGACGAGAGAGCGTCTGGAAGCTACACCCAAGCAGGCTGAAGAGCGGTTACAGAGATTGGAAGGAGCTATAACGACCATATTGGAATGTATAGGAGAAGATCCAGACCGAGAGGGTCTGCGAGGGACGCCGGAGCGCTATGCAAAAGCCATGCTCTACTTTACTAAAGGCTATGAGGAGAATGTCCGTGATCTGGTCAATGGAGCTGTCTTTCACGAAGATCATGATGAGCTTGTCATTGTCAAAGATATCGAGGTCTTCTCGTTGTGCGAGCATCATATGGTACCTTTCACTGGAAAGGTAGATTCCCGAGTCTTCTCTTAAGACTTCTAATGTGCTTGGAAATCTCGATATTGACCTTATTCAGATGCACATAGGCTACATTCCAAATCGTATGTTGCCAGGAGATCATAATGTTTGGTAATACTGATGGATTATAGGACGAGTACTGGGTCTCTCCAAACTGGCACGCCTTGCAGAGATGTTTTCCCGTCGACTTCAGATCCAAGAGAGGTTGACGAAGCAAGTGGCACTCGCGATCACTGAAGTCTTGAAGCCTCAAGGTGTAGCTGTGGTCATGGAGTCGAGTCATCTTTGCATGGTTATGAGAGGCGTAGAAAAGACTTCGACGTCGACCATCACGAGCTGCATGTTAGGCTGTATGCGATCAAGGGCAAGCACAAGGGATGAATTCCTTAATCTGGTGAACAAGCGATAACAGCTCAGGCAAGCGAGAATAATGATCTACGATCGCGTGAAGCTTGAAGCCGCTTCGACACATGTGGTTTCTTTCTGGAGTTCTAGGGGACCATTCGCGTTCTTGATGGTGCTCACCCACCACGTCAAAACCAAGTGCTGGTTTGACGACTCAATATGCGTGCTTGGATTTTTGCATACAGGATCTGCCATTCAACAGGCGAGAATGGGAGCAAAACTTTGGAAATAAAGCTTGGGCCGGTCTTGGCTTCGTGCAAATACAAGACCTGACTATCTTCTCAACATCTGAAACCACCTTACTATATTTGTTCAAATTGACCATGGAAGCGACAGACAGCTTGCAATCAAGAAAATCTTCGCAAGAAAATTTATCGAAAAACGAAACAGAAACATAATAAAAACAAAAGGACAATGGGTGTGTTGACAACGTCAGTAGGCAACGGAGAAAGATCCGATTGTCCTGAAGTGAATGTACTGTCCATAAATCCAGCCATCAACTAAAATTACAGCGCCAGCGCCTCTGTACTTCTCCCATGTCTTCCCTCCTCGCATACCCACCGCATCATCTTCGCACAATGTTCGTCAGCGACTTGTAATCGCTTTGCCAAGATTCTGACTTAAATTCAATATCAAGCTGCCAGGTGTTGGCCGGAAATATACTTCTCGCTCGATAGACATCCGAGCGATCATGGCATGCCCTTTGAGTGCCATTCTCAATGCTGTCGATGCCGCTGCTCAAACGAACCCCGTGCCCGCGACAGGCGATCACGACGATGACGCTACCATTTCTGAGGCGTCTACTGAAATCATTGATGAGGGAATGCCGGATGAGGAGAAGCCAGACGAGGAAATGCTAGGGTTCAACACCCCGACCATGCACCAACGAAGCCCGCCAGACACCAACCCAGGTATTGGCAAGTCCGCAAAGCGAGGCTTCATATCTCCTGTCATCCTCTCACCCGACAAAGGCTCCCTGTATGACCGTCGAGCAATCCTATCTCCCGTTTTAGTGCCTGTACTTCCAATACCGCCAAAGGGAAATTCATTGCACTATCTCGCCAAAGATCCGCCAACACCATCACATGGAACCAACGCGAGAAATTTTAGCATCTTCAATGCTCTTCTCAATTATCCAGAGCTCACCCTCGAGTTCTCCAAGCAGCTCGACATCGAAGATCTGATTTCTCTCTACGCTATTTCGAAAGAATTCCATTTCCTCGTCAACGGCCGGTTCACTGCCATGATTCTAGGCCAGTCCAACGGCAAAGCATCAGAATCATCCAAGACCTTCATTTTCCGCTGCTACAAAAGCCTCTGCATGCGTGACCCCGCCCGCCGTCTCAATGAGACCAGACCAGATGAACTGCGCTTCATTCCAAGTTTCCGCTGGCTTCGTATGATCCTCTTCCGCGAGGCCGTCGTGGACGACATCCTCCAATCCTTGGCTGCAGAAGGACATCGTTTGCCCAAGCGAACGAGGTTGACGATCAAAAAAATCTGGTTCACAATCGATATCAGTGACAATGCACGTCGTATAGGCCTCATGCACAACACCACGTTCTGGTCCAACAAGGATCTATTCCTCGCCACCATGTTCTTTCTCAAGCTCGATATGCGCCTCACACATCCAACCGCTGGTAACGGTGAGATGGGCTTGCGCAAAATGCTGCTCGGTCAGAGAAGTCTATCTATGTTGGCGCAGGTGCTGAAGCGGGAAGAAATGAGGACGCAGGTGGATATGCTCCGGATGATCGTAAGATTTAGATATGAACCTCCCAGACATCGGCAGATGGACATCATGGGAGTGCCAAGTCATGAAATCGGGAGGCTGCAATATGAAGGTTGGGGAGCCAAACATACCAAGTTCATACAGATTGACGAGCTGGTTATGAGGGAGGCGGTGAAAAGGAAGCTCAATTTGCAGAAATACTACGTTGATATGATGATCTACGGGTATATCAACAAAAAGACTTTTCAGGATATCAGGACGCCCATGCGAAAGCAGGAAGACGAGGCTGAGGAAGATTGCGAGGATGACACAAGTAGTGGTGAGGATGAGGAGGCAAATCAGAGCGGCTTCGGGCCTGACACGGAGGCAGAGGAGCAAGGAGGTGCAGCTGAGAATGGGGGAGATGTTGGAATGAACTATCATGGCTACAGTATGGGTTGGCCAGGTAGAAGAGGGTTATCCAGTGGCGATGACCTCACAGAGTAGCATCTAGGCCCGAACGTTGCCTTGATTCGAAAGACAATATTGTCCTCAACATCATCAATGTATTGTTGTTGCACTGATTAAACATTAACTTCTCAAAGCAGCGAAAAGCGCGAGAAAAGGTATCATCGCTTGAATTCCAGCCCGCATGCAACAAGCACCTCAAGTACTGGTACTACAATCTCCACTCTTCTCATTGTGTCCGGTCCATCATCGTTTCTCTTTCCCCCCACCCTCCACTAGGGTGCCTAAGCCTGCACAGTCCCATAAGAAGTGTGTCCCCCGTTCTGGATATTCTCGGAGTAGACTCCCGGGGCGTGCTTCAGCGCAGTGTTGCCGAGACGGACTTGGTCGCGCTACAAAGGTTTCGGAGTCAGCATTCTTTTCCTTAGACGAACAACCAAGCAGTCAAACAGGTCAAGTGAGAATTGGAAGGATTTGGCTCCAGGAACACGTCTTGCAACTCGTACAGTGGTGCAGAATACGATGAACGTGCTCCGAAAAAGTACTTACGCGGTTGAAGTATACGTATTCAAGGTAGAACGCGTGGATGTGGCCTGGGAAGTAGCTGTATCGTTCTCGTGTATTAGCCAGAGTACAGCTCCTCATTGTAAAGGAGAGGTGGAGAGCAGCTTACCCGAGACAGGTGAGGCAGATGTTGATGAGGAGGTCGGCGCCGCATCCGGCAATGAGAAAGACACCGACAGGGGGGACTACAGGAGAGGACGAAGTCAGCGATAGGGACTCAGACTCAGGCTTCTGGGGGCAGAGACGGTGAGGAAAGGGAGAGCGCTTACTGAAGATGGTGACGATAACGACAAGGATGGCGTTGACTGGGTTAGGCATTTTGTGATAGGTTGATGAAGAAGAAGAGGTTGCTAACTTGCTGGTGAGGTTGCAGAAGGTAAGTTGAAAGACACGGTGCTGTTTTACTTATACTGTTATCCTGTATTTTAGTCTCTGGGAGAGATTCACTTGGCGCGCGCGCTTCGGATGCTATTCCCAGAATCCCATTCGTGCCACCGTCGCGCTTGGCAAGTGGCAATAGATGAAACAATGATGAAAATCGTGGCTGAGCTGTGGCGCGGAATTGGGAGCCTCAGCCACGACAACAAGGCTCGTGATACATGCACACCCCCATTCGAACTAATCCTATCTGCGGGGTGTACAGAAACACAGGTTGTTTCACGAGCCTCCATCAGTGGTTCAAACGACCATGTCCAACGGGTCGCGGTGAATTGACAGCGAAGAAGAACTGGCCCCAGCAGTTTTGGTGGTTAGACAATTATCGAATCACTACTCCGTACATGGCGCATAGATTCGAGTCAAAAACAATACTTTCGACAAGCATATCCAGCCAGGAGCGTTGGAGAGATACAATACGGAATATGCAAGCTCGCCTTGAAAACAACCAATCCATATATGTACAGACCCTAGAATGTACCGTAAGTAACGCCCAAAGATCTGCCACTGATCTAGCGGAACGACTCCAGCGCTATGCATAACAAATCGCCAAGCAGAATATTTCTATGGACGATCCATACCCTTCATCTCGGACTCATCTAGCCCTGACTCGAGCTTGGCCTCACCCGTTTCGGCTCCCTTTCAGTCGTCGCAGAGCCACTTGCTCGCCTCTTTGCTTTCTCCCTCTCGTGCTCTTCCATCCTCACAGCGCGTCTCGCCTCCTGGTTTTTGCGCTCATTCTCTTTTCGGAGGGCTTTAGATTCGAACTCGTGCCAGTCTCCTTCTAGATCCTTGAGTCTGCGATAATGATTAGTGATATCATCTCAATGTGGGGCAATCAAGGTAGACTTACTCAATGGCCTGCCTTGGTGCTGGCTCCTCCGTGGTGAAATACGGATGCTCCAGCACGTCGCCGGCTGTTGGTCTCTTTGCAGGATCGTACATGAACATTTCTTGAAGCAGCTCAAAAGCGTCAGGAGTGAGTCTCTCCTGATACTTTTCTGAAAAAGTATTTGGCTTTCGTTCGGTGGGTCTTAGCAGCTCAAACCACGCCATGTCAACCAAGCCTGGCCACTCGGATCTTGTAGGTGTACCCAAGACATTGTAGATCTTGTCGAGTTGATTGATCTCTCCACCATCGCCGGGAAAGATGGCGTGCCGCGTAAAGATTTCGATCATGACGCAAGCAGCACTCCAAATATCAACAGCGGGACCGTACTGTGTCTCGCCAAGGAGAAGCTCAGGTGACCGATACCATATGGTGATGACACGATTGGTATAATCAGGCTTGCCACGCTTGGCGAAGAACCGCGCGAGTCCAAAATCGGCCAGCTTGAGCTGTCCAGTGCTACTAACGAGAATATTGGCTGCTTTGATATCGCGATGGAGCACCCCGCGGCGATGAAGGTAATTGAGCCCCTCAAAGAGTTGCCGGCCAAGATGCTTTTTGTGTGCATGCTCGAGCTTGAAGGTAGGATGGTTGAGAAGACCAGTCAGGTCATGAGACAAGTACTCGAACACCATGAAGCAGTCATTATGCTCTACCATCACCTCTTGCAGAGAAACAACGTTTTCATGCTTCAGAGACTGCAGAAGCTTGATCTCACGCACTGCAGTGACGGGGAAGCCGTCCTTCTCACCATCCATCCGAATCTTCTTCAGAGCCGCGAGATTCTTCGTATAGACATGGATAGCCTTGAAGACTTTGCCGTAGGTCCCGGACCCTACCACTGACTCGTTGCCGGGCTTTCGATAGTAGACTGATGTCGAGGTAGCAAAATCAGTTGGAAGTGTTGGCCGCGGTTTCATACGCTTCATGATCTTCTTTTGCTTTAGAATTTCGGGAGATCGCTCACGCGCACGCTCTCGTTTCTGATCCCGCTCAGGTCGTCTATCACTACGGTGGTCCCCTCGCCGCTGATCACGGTAGTCGCGATGGTCACGACGCTCATCTTCGTAATCACGCTCTCTTCGCTCATCCCGCCTGTCACGCTCAAGTTGACCAAGAGCAGGATACGAGCTGGGCTTAGTCTTTAAGGAGTCCAGCAGGTTTTCCTTTTTGATTGGCTCTTTTATCTTCTGGGTTAAATCAGTTGGTGGCTTAGCAGGTGCTGTAGTTCCAGGTTTAGCTTTGAAAGCAAAGCTGAACTTGGACTCTTGTTTAGGCGAAGAATCGGATTCCTGTCTTGACGGCGGTGGCATCTTTGTGTCTTTCTCGCTCTGATCCTCAATCTGTAAATTTTTCGAAGGTCGAAATGGGTTGTCGTCGTCACTCGGTTGACCTGTGGCTGGTTGCGGATGAGGAGAAGTCTGCGAGTGCCCTGAAGAGGATTGCTGATTAAATTGACCGCCGCCCCGACCGTCAGTACTTGCATTGCCTGCAGTCCACTGAAGATTTTGGAAGTGTCCTCCTCTCCCTCGGGTGGGAGTGGGAGCATAGTTCGGGTTTGAAGGAGGGGGACCCGAGCCAGAGAATCTGCGATCTGGATTTTGAGGGTAACTACCACGATAGCCTGCATTACCGCCTCGAAAAGGCTGGTTCTGATAAGCATGTTGGAATTGCTGGGACCCACCATAAGGACTTTGCTGGCCGTTGGCGTAGTAATGCCCTTGAGGACTTTGTTGAGGGGGGTAACTCCCTTGCCGGTATGGAGGTGAATACCCATTCACACTTACAAAAGGTTAGCAGCAGAAGGAAGGTCAAGTGAGTGGCACCTACCCTGCCTGCCCATGATATTGCTGCTGTTGGCCTCCCCATCCACCTCGACCCTGACTGAACGGTGACCCAGAGTGAGGGGAATTGTGATGCGATGATGTCGGTGTCCACTGCGGAGATGTTGAGTAAGATTGTTGAGTATTGAGATGCGGCGGGCGACTTGGTCGATGTGTTCCATGTACATCACTTGCCTTCATTCCATGCAGTGGGAAGGCTTCACTTATCATGGCGGGGTTATGAGGAACCGGTTCGTAGCTGGGGATAGGTCGAGGTGGGGAAGGTGGACGTGAGCCATCGTTGATGGTGTTTTGTATAGGACGTGTGGAAGATTGCATCTTTGTGCGGCCTCCTCTTGCTCCTTCTCGCTCTACGGGAGATTGGGGGGATCTTCGCCTTTTCCCTGGTTTTCTTGTCCCCCCACGACACGGTGATGGTGATTGATTTTGATGTCGGCTTAGCTCTTTGTGCCTTCTTGGTGAATTCCCAGAGCGGGGTAAAGGACGGTAGCTGGATGCAGTAGATTCACCCTCTTTTTTAGACCCACGACCAGGAGATGAGCGCCGCTTTGGACGTGGACGTGGACGTTCAGGAGAAATTCTCCTTGATCTTGAAGGCCTGTCTCTCGACCGAGGACGCTTGTGCGGTGAAGCGTGTCGAGGGTTTAGAAATGCAGGAGGCGGCGACCTAGAACGTAGTCGTGACCCGGGGACGTACGAGTCTCCGAAACGGCCAGCGGAGCCACTCAAGTCAGTATATGTGGACGAGTAATGGTCACCTCGATTTGAACGTGGCGGTGAGTTAGCTCGTTCGCGACGTCTACTGCTTGGGCGGAAGGTGTCAGTTCGACCGGAGTGAATCGGGCTGCGATGCCTTCTCCGTTCCTCCCTGAAACCAAACAATTCACGTTGCGGTGATCTACTCCGTGTTATTCTCCGTCTATCAGTCTGACCGCCTTCGTCTCGATGTCGTGGCCTTTCGGGATATCGGTCCCCACTAGATTCTCGACGTTGGACCAGCTCCTCGTCTCTTGGCCTACGTCTTGGCGGCGAACGACTGGATCCTCTTGCACGATCTTTCCCCAATGTGTTGTCCCTCTCCGACCTCTTATGATCGGATGGTGACCCCGGCGCAGAGTCGGCTGCTGCTCTGCCCTTGATCTTCAGGCCCACGTCTGTCTCTCGTGGGGCTGCGGGCGAGATCTTGCGGCGGTCGTCTGTGCCTCTGTTTCTTCGACGATTACTGTCCCTATGGTCGTCGCCGGCTCTCCACTGATCTCTCATCAATGGACTCCGTCGCGACGCAGCCATGTAATCGCTGCGTTCATTTGGTCAGTAAGTGTGATGAATTGATGGTGCTCATGATTTTCGCTCAAAGTTACCTTAGTGCAAGCCAAATTTCGTGTAAAGTTAGCCGCAGGTAATTTAAAGGAATTCCCAAAAATTGAGAGAAGGGAGTGCTTACCTGATGACCATGATTGACTTCTATAATGTCCTTGCTTCCGTCGCAGGTTAGAAAGGTGTTGACTCGGGTTGTGTTGCAGTCGCGCCTCATAGTGTCGTTGCCTGTTCTACGGTTGTTGTGGATTGTTGACCAGCAACTCCAGGCAAGTTGGAGTGGCTCGGCGGTGGTTTTCCCATGGCTCCTGCCAAGTATCTCATCACAAGCATAGCTATCTACGAGGACGCTGCAGTCCAAAAGCAAAGCCAAACAAATGACAGCAAATCCGTAAACACAATGGCCCTGCAGCCTTCCCGTTCTCGTTGTCCAATACACTTCCTTCCGAAGCACGATCAGTTCGTAGATAGTCTTAACCTTTGCGGCAATAGTCTCCTGATACTTGACTTTGGGTTTTCCGGTCAATTATAATCAGGAGCCATTCTGTGCCTCCAATATATAACCGGCGTAAATTTGACCGTCAACCTGATTTGCGTGGCAAGGAGGCATCGAGCGCTGGCTATTTATTAGTCTTCTTTGCTATATAGGCCGTCCAATCGAGTGTAATGGACACCGAAGTTTGCTACAAGGAAAGCGTGGCTGGTCCTTCAGAAGTGAAGACATCAGAGAACCCGCTGCCTGACATCAGTATCTGGAGCGACCCGAGATAGACCAGTCCTATCGAGCTTGCGCCCGACTACCTGCCGGTGGGCGTCTGAACCGCTGGTGTCACGGCAATGGCAGACACTTCCTGCTACCTTGTTTGTCGTACGTGTGGCCCATGAATGTAGGCTCTGAAATGACTCGGGGGGGAGGAGGGGGAGGTGCGATGCCAAAAGAGTAGCAACCCAAGTAGGCTGCTGTTTTCATGTGAATCAGGTAACCATGCAATCTTCAATTTATCTTTGCAGCCCAGTATCATCCGGAACAAGGCGCCTTCTTCGTGTGGCTCGTTGCCCTTTCACGCAATGCTGTGACAGTATCCCTTCTCTCTCCACTATGACCACCACATCCATGACTGCAACGGGTGGATGATATATATCTAGACCTGAGATCTGTTGAGAACAGTGCATCAATATAGTTCGGATTCCTGATGGATGGTGATGGAGAAGTACGTGGACGATATGGTTCAGGTGTGAGACAGAAGAGGGGAAAATTAACTTTTATAGCTAGCGCAGTGTATCGTACCGTAATCTACTATCCTCCAGCTTTGATAAGGCTGAAGCACTTGACCCACGGCATGGCCTGGAGGCTGTAAGTGCTTGTCCAGCTGTTAATAAGTAGAGCATTAAGTAAGATATCTAATCTGGGTATAGTGTCAGTTACTGCTCTGTAAAGATGTATGACTATTTTGGCTAAGAGGTGGCGGTTCATTTGGAGCTTCTTTTCACTATTGGCTTTTTGTTTGAGTCTACAGAATCAAGGAATAATAACACTGGATTAATTGACTAATGACGCTCATCATAAGAGGCACCCATGCTTTTATTTCTAGCTCTTCATTTGTGAACCAACCAATGCTCAAACAGAAGATCGAACGGGACGACGTCAAGAGCTCGCTCATTCAGACCCCAGCTGTATTATGCCACGGCCATGAAGATGAGCGGTCCACCACCGAAGGTGTTGTATCCGCCGAATCAAAAAGCTCCATCACTCGATATGCTCCTTTCAGCCCATAGCTCCTGGGTGTCTCACAGGTCATCGCCCGAGTTCGAGCCGCTACTGTCTTCCAGGAAGATATCATCAAACCCCTCAGCTAGGTCGTCGAGGCTCCTTCGAATAGCCTCATCCAATGCCTTCTTCTCATCCGCGCTCAATCTTACTTCTTTATACTCAGGTACAGGTTGATTTTCCATGTCGCTGTCCGACTGAGAAAGCAATTTCCAGAGTTTGGCTTGCTCTCGACGGCTCACTTTAGGGGCACGTGGATCTTTCTCTACGATGAATTCGACATCGCTCGAGGTAGAGCGAGAACCACTAGTCGAGCTAGTACTGGCGTGCTGAGGAGAAAAGGATGCCGAAGAGCTTTGGCGTAGACCGACTTGTCTCTCCCGGTCTGGGAAGAACGAGTTCGAAGGAACGTCTTCCGCTGCTGTTGCACCGTCGTCAAGACCGGAGGTTACAGGGGACGCCTTGTTAGCCAATTCATCGCTGCCCGTGATTTCAGTGTCCATATAGCAACCCGAGTCCTCATTGCGATGCTTGATGTTCTTGCTGGAGTTGGTGGACGCCTCTGTCTCACAACCATGTAAAGCTAGAGCGTCTTCGCCAACGAGTAAAGTAGAGCTTCTGACATCACTCAATGGGCCGAAGGAGTTGTAGAAGACATTACTGGAACATTGAGTGGGAGTCGGGTTTTCTTCGTCCTTGGAATCCAAGAGTGGAAGCGTGTTTCTGCCAGGCTCTGCAGAAACCTCCTGCTTGGGTTGCTTAGCGTTCTCTTTGAGACACTTAAAAGCCGATATCTGGCCGAGGCTTGATTTAGCATGCCGTTTGCGGCCACGCTTCCCGGAAGTGGAAGGAGTCGCTAGCTCACCCTTGACCATCGGAGGGGTTGAAAGAGCTTCAACAGGTCGAGGAAATGAGTGAGCCGTGCCTATGTCGTTCAAAGAGATTGATGCTTGTTCAGGCAAATGCCAGAGGTAATCAGGTTCTTGGTTCGAGTGCGAGTTTTGAGTCATTAGACCTTCTTCTGGAGCCGCAAACTGAGAATTGGTGCTGGGCCCCAGAGTTGGATCATAGCCAGTGCGTGTTGGGTCTAAAGCATTTCTGTCATTAGAAGTCTGTGAATCCAGCGTTGGACGCGTTACTAGACTGATCGCTGAGGGTGGCAGGACTGAGAACCTTGTAATGGGTCCAAGCTGGAAGGTAGCGTCTTTCCCATGCAGGGAGGGAGATGAAGGAGTGGCCAGATGCTCCGAGGCATAGCGTGAAATGCATGGGACTGAGGATCCACTAGTGGGTCCATTGTGTCCGGTATGATGAGAAGAAGGAACACGGTAAGTATCGTTAAGATATTCCTCTGGGATTGGTACATGTAGCGTCCCGTTATGGTGGTCGCTAAAAGGACCAGACATCATGACTTCCTCCTTGACATTTTCGAGTTCTCTTGTCAATTTGGCGCACTTGGCCACGAGGTATGCTTGGGTTTGAGCCAGACCAGGCAAGTCAGTCTCCTTCAATCCAGCCCCAGTAGCCGAGGAGCTCATCACCGAATGATTGTCTTCGGATCCCACCCGGTCTATAGTAATACGATTGTTTGGCGTATACAGATAAGCTCCTTTACTCCGCTGAGGTTGTCTGCTTGGAGACTGCCCAGGCTCTAGGGAATTTCTTCTAGGGCCTTGGAGGGCGAAACGCTGAGCTGCAGATGCAAGTCTCGTATCTTGATACGCTTTGGGTACGCTCGGTTGTTCCTTGATCTCGCGGGAGTTGACATTCGCGTACCATGGAGCTACCTTGATTGTGAGGCGTGCGCGCAGGATCCGCTCATAACGTACAGAGGAGCCATTATCGTCAACAAGCATGGCCTGAACGATGATCTTCAGCGAATTAGAAATGCTCTCGCGAGGATCTCGACGGGTATTTGTAATATGTCGATCGTAGCCATTGACCTCGGAGTAGAATGGCACGATTCCTTTGAAGCCTACAATATCATCATCCCAGACAAGCCAAGAGAGAGGAGAATGCCGCGATTCAGACTCGATGGAATATTTGACGTTTTTGGGAAAATGAGTGGGCCGGAATGCGGATTTGCTGTAATACCTTGGGACGATAGAGAAAGTTTGACCCTCAAGTGGGAATTCGTCGAGACCCTCAAATAGTAGAGAGTCAGGGACCCATGCAGCATCCACGATAGGATAAGAACCTGGAGAAAATGGATGACAGCACACGCGAACTGTAATGGACGTGTCGCGGGAGCCATCCTCATGGTATTGTACCAAAGCATCAGTTGCGATAAGGTATAATCGGAGAAATCCTGACTTCGCTTTTGACGTATTCTCCTCGGACGAGTACAATGCCTCTGCCATTTCACTGACCAATTGATCACGACAGAAGCTGATTCCGCGAACTATACCAGCAGAAAACAAGGTGTGGATGGGCCTGACATTCCCTGCAGAGTCCTGCTGCTGAAGCTGCTGGTAAATCTGCCACAACTCGTTGGCAAGCATCTTCTCAAGCGTTGAGACAAAGGCCCGGTGGACACGAAAGAGCTCGTTGGCATCCACATCGGATAAGCCATTCCAAGCTGTGGAGATGTTGATATGCTCAACAGCAAGATTCCGGCCAGAATCACCGTGCAGTGCCTCACGACGTTGATCCTCATCACCAGGGTGGGACCGGGTAACAGGTACGCAAAAGTCTAGAGGTTGGATATACCCTGAAGTAAGGCCTTGTATGGAGATCGTCGCTGGCTCTGCTTCTGTGCAATGAGAGTCATGAGCACCATACTGTGGGCTGTGGTAGATTTGCTGGTCAGCGGAGGCAGACCCTCCCATTGTAGTTGAGGGTTGACTACCAGATGCACTGGTCATCCAATCATGAGGTATTGCTTGACGAGCTTGACGATTGTAGCTTGGTGAGAAGGAATTCTGTGTGTCATCGACATAGTTGCCTGGAGAGAGGTGAAGCCCATGCAACCCGGCAGGCAGATTCTCAATCGGTGGCGATTTGGGTCTTAGATTCGAGAGGTCTCCATGTGACTTGGAAATATCACGGCGAATACGCAGATTGGTCCTCTTCGCAGAGGCGCTCAGAACACCTTGAGACTCCTTTGTAGGCGTCTTATGCCGATCGAAAGAGGACGAGACACGAATGTAGGCTGACCGCCCATTCGAGACGTTGCGGAGGGCACTCCGAGGAGCCCTGAGTCACCATTTAGAACGTGTAGTTCACAAAAGGGGGAAATAGGTCAAAACAGACGTATGCCAATAGGAGCGCTTTGGTGTATCCATGCTTGTGCAGATGATAGGAAGGCTGTAGGATGCTGTTACTCGCTGCGATGGAGGCTGCACCAAGAATGTGGAATATCTCTTGTTCT